TGCTAATATATGTTTTTGAAAAGGTGTTGAATTTTGACACATATTTTTTTTGCTCCTATTGAGATTTTCATACATACATATGTTTTTAATTCTAATCTAAAAAAAAAATAGGTAATTGGTTCCTACGATCCCCAAACCAAATAATATAAAAAGGCATAGTGAGAAATCTACCTCTATCCCAACCTCTTCAGTTCCCCACATATTTCCACCCTCTCCCCAGGCAGATAAGTAATGGTATTAGCTTCTTATATATCCTTCTAGGGTTTCTTATGTATGTGTAAGCAAATCTATAAACAGTCACACACACTTCTCTCCTGTCCCCCTCCTTTTGTAATATAAATGGCAGCATACTATTTTGTACTTCACTTTTATTTATTTATTTTTTAAAGTAGGCTCAACGTCCCATTTGGAACCCAACACAGGGCTTATACTCACAACCCCAAGATCAAGACCTGAGCTGAGAACAAGAGTCAGACACTTAATGGACTGAGCCCACCCAGGTGCCCCTCTGCTCTTCATTTTTTTTTTTTTTTTTTTAAGATTTATTTACTGTTTTGAGAGGGGCAGAGGAGAGGCAGAGGGAGAAAATCTTCAGGGAGACTCCCTGCTGAGCCGGGAGCCCGACTCAGGTCTCAATCCTGTGACCCATGAGATCATGACCTGAGCTGAAACCAAGTGCTGGATGCTCAACTGACCGAGCCACAAGGGCACCCCTCTGCACTTCATTTTTAAACATTAAGAAGATCCTAGTAATTTTTCCATATGGGTATCTAGAAGGGTTCCTACTCATTTTTACAGCTGCATAGTATCCCATTCATTTATTTGTATGTATGGGGGGGGGTGGTATGTGACATCTGCCCAGATTAAGTGTATTTAACCAGACCAAACCAATGGACAGTCTGTTTGTTTCCAGTCTCCTGCCATTATAAACAATATTTGAATGGACACTTGTACATGAATCATTTCACATGTGTATAAGCACAGCTGTTCTGCAGAGGGCTTTAATAGGATTTTGATAATTTGTAGGTCAATTCGTTTATGCACAACTCAGTCTTGAGGAATTCTTTTATGGGTAGTATTAAAAACACATACTGAATACAAGGCAACGCTATATTTGAAAGTGATTTTCTTTGTTTCATTTAAAGGCCACAGGGAGCAGGGGAATGACTTTTCCTCTCTAGTAAGAAAATATAATTTTAAGAATATTTATTTTTCCTAAAACTCTTTTAAGATGCTCTGTTTTAGATGATAAAACTATTGAGGGACTCCTTCCTCTGAATATGGGGGAGCTACTCTGTACTCCCTTCTGAAGTCTGGAATCAAATCCTCTTTCCTTTGTAATCTTTTCACTTCGTTTCCTAGCATCACAATTACAATCCTATATCACTAGAATCTCCTTACTCATTGAACAGGCCCATTGCATAAAAATCTTATAACAGGTTTCCTCTATCTTTCTCCTACCGAATAGCCAAAGGTCTCTAATTATGATAGGCGGACATTCATTCAACCTAGAGAGAAGTCAAAAGATGCCCATAGTGACGAGATGTTGACTAATGCCCAGCCACACCTCGTAACCTTTCAGGGCCCATGGATGCCAGGAGTTCAAAAGGAGATAAAAATAATAGCTTCACAGCTGAATTGGGAGCAAAGTTAGCAATGGCAAGTTGGCACGTTCTGTTTTCCCTGACAATACACTTCCAGAAGGTTGGGGACTAATATGGTCAGGGAGGGGCAAGCAAGCCAAATTTTGAGGAAGACTGAACTGCAGAAATAGGGGGAAAAAAGTATTTAACTTGTTTGAAGTGTATGACAACTCAAAATATACCCTGAAATAGAGTGGAGGGATACATATCCTTATTGCTGTGATGGTACCATAATATCAGTAAAACCTGAGAGGGCGAAAATCAAACTTTCCTCCTCTTCACTAGGGTATGCCAAGAAATCAAGATGACTAAAAAAGGGAAGGTCCTGGTAGAGTAGCAAAAATATGTAACATTACATTTACTCATTTACTATGACATGTCCTGCTGAGTTGTCCCCAACCTGCCACAAAAACTGCCCTGGAAAAGGACTCCCAGGAACTCTTTACTGTCATATCTGAAGCCGTCTTTGGTCCTCATCTTACAGTCTCTGAAGAACCTGAGAGGAGTCCTTCTTAAAAGCTAAAAAGCCAGGCACCTGGGTGGCTCAGTTGGTTGAGTGTCCGACTCTTGATTTCAGCTTCAGGTTGTGATCTCAGGATTGAGGGATCAAGCCCCATGTCAGGCTCCCTGCTCAGTGGAGAGTCTGCTTGGGATTCTCTCTCTCTCCCTCTGTCCCTCCCCCAGCTCATGTATGCATGCTTGCTAAAATAAGTAAATAAGTAAAACATTTGGGAAAAAACCAAACAACTTAAAATTCCTTTCTGCCCCGGTTTCCAAGCTACTCTCTGCTGGGTCTTCTGGCCGGCTTCTCTTCCAGCACGTGCCCAAGAGTATGCTCATGCCAACCAGCTCCAACTTTAGATCTAATCCCTCACTCAGTTATAAATATGCCCTCAGCTCCCCAGTCTGTCTTCAGCCCAGGCTTCCAGACCCTTCAATTGGCACAGACACCTTCTATCAAAAATGGAACTAAATAATTTTCTTCCCCAAACCTGCCCCTCTAACAGTTCATCTCTCTATTCTGTCATCCAGAAGCGCACGTCGCCCTCGTCTCCTTCCTCGCCCAACCTTTCTGTCCACGGAGTTCCAGAGCGCCTACCTCCTTAATAATACCTAAGTGGCTCTCCCTCACCCTCCCACTGCTGAATCTCCTCCCACACCTGATGTATCCATCCTCAAATTAAATGTTTTTTCACTTTTTGCACTGGTAACTGTATATATTTGTACTGTATACAATATTCTAATGTGATTTTATGGGCCACAGCCAGGAACCCAAGTGGGGTTTAGGTGGACTGTTAAAAAACACCTCCCAATTCAACTGTAACCATGTTACTGCCATTACTCCTTCAGGGGCTCCCTACCTCTTCCATTACTCCTTGGTACATGATGTTAGATCTGCGACAATCAGGCCCCTTGTCTCTGGGTTGTACCCCACAGACACCCTCTCCTTTAGTCACACTACATGCAGTGTCATGAACATGGCAAGCTTGTTCCTCCCTCCATGCTTCTGTTCACACTGTTGCTTTCACTCCTTCCCTGCCTCAGGGGGCAGGTGGGGGTACCTCATCACCTTCAGCTTAGGGGGATTATCGTCTCTGCAGCCTCTCCTGATCCGTGAATAATGCCTTTAAAAGTGTCCACCCCCACCTTTGGTCTCCTACTCTATCATACTTCCAGTATAGCATCTATGTTCCTTTATTCCATTTACTTGGTGTAGATGAAGCACTGTAACTTTCTTTCAAGCGATACTGTTACTTTCTCTATTTAAACAGAAGGAGATTGGGGGTAGACAGAAAATTTTGGCCACTTCTCTCAAGGAATTGAAAATATAACTGGGAATTTGGATTAGATGTAATTCCAAAAAAACACAAAAAGTTGTGCTTTTTTTCTTATACATATATTTTCCTTAAAATATTTCGCTTATTTACATTTAAAAATAATGACACAAACAATTTCCCAGGAACTCAGCTTTGTTCCAGTAATCACAAGCTGTGCTGTGCTCACTAAGAACTGATCAAACCTATCACTGGATCAGTATAAAGGAGTACTACTTAGCACACTTTCAGAGACATGGTAGGTGAACAGTAAATTAATGAGTTGGAGAGCTATTTATATGTCTATAAACATTGATATATATACATATGGCTCATTTTTAAGATCTAGGTTACTAGGAGTTTGCCTGAAATAATGGCATACACACACACACACACACACACACACATATACACACACACATTTTTATGTATTTCAGGTAAACTCCTACTAAACTAGATCTTAAGAATAAGTCTTATTATTCATCAACTAATTGTTCTAAGGTTTTTTAAGGAAAATTTCAAATGTACAAAAACAGAGTATAAAATAACAACAGTAGAAAGGGTAGTATAACAAATCCCATGCAGCTATAAGCACCACCATTAAATAGACCATCTTCTCTTATCTATGCCCTCACTGTCCTCCGAGATTATTTTGAAACAAATCCCTGATTATCAGGCCATTGTATAAGACACTGTTCACTTTTACCCTCCTCAAGGGTTAAGAGAGCAATACAGAGCATGTTGCCCACAGTTAACAGTACCAACATCTAACCAGATCCCTCAAAAAATATCGGGCACAAAACTATGATATAGGACATCCAGTTACAACAATTCTGAGTACGATCCTTTTAAGTAAATGATAAAGAATTCTCTACGCGTGGGGCGCCTGGGTGGCTCAATGGGTTAAAGCCTCTGCCTTCGGCTCTGGTCATGATCCCAAGGTCCTGGGATCGAGCCCCACATCGGGCTCTCTGCTCAGCAGGGAGCCTGCTTCCCACCCCCCACCTGCCTCTCTGCCTACTTGTGATCTCTATCAAATAAACAAATAAAATCTTAAAAAAAAAAAAAAGAATTCTCTATGCTTAAACCTCTACTAAATTGGGGAACACTACATTAACAATAAATCCCAGCTAACAGAAGTTCTGTTCCCTTATTTTTAATTTCTTCTAGCAAATAATACTAACTTTCAGATAAGATCTTCCTATTCCTCACACATTTGCAATCATTTTATCAATATTTTACTATTAAAATTTTGATTTAAATTTCCATTTTTGACTCAAACAGGAAGAACAGTTTACATAAAAATACGAACTCAAGCAACAAAACTGGTTTTTAACCCTTAAAAAGTAGAGTAGTATGGTCTAATAAACCTTATTTAACTGGTAAAAAGAAATGAACTGTAAACACTTTCTAATAAATTTCACATAGCACAGAAGAGCAGGAGAAATTCTGGCATGCAAAACAAGCATGTGATATTTGAGAAGAGGAAAACTGAATGGGAAATCGGTCTAAGACTGACAGAAAAATAGTTATAAATACTTACCTTATTGCTGCCTAGACTATAGGATGGAATAAGATCTTGTCGGCTGCCAGACAACTGAAAAAGAAAAAAAGAGAGGATTAGTCCTTTATTTTTATTTTTTTGTAAAAGATTTTATTTATTTATTTGACAGAGTGAGTAAGAGAGAGAGAGAGCAAGCACAAGCAGGGGGAACGGCAGACAGGGGAGAAACAGGCTCCCAGCTGAGCAGGGAGCCCAATGCGGGGCTCAATCCCAGGACCCTGGGATCATGACGTGAGCCGAAAGCAGCCTCTTAATCGACTGAGCTACCCAGGCTTCCCTGGGATTAGTCCTTTAGGTGTGAAAGTACAGGAATCTACGGTCCTGGAAATACAAGAATTTGAAAACCAAATCAACAGTCAGATGGTAGCAGAGATGCTGTCAAGACATTTGTAAATTAGGCTAGTGTATACTTTGAGACATTATTATGCACAACTTTTTTTAAAGATGTATTTCTTTATTTTGAAAAAGAGAAAGCATATGTGCAAGCCAGGAGGAGGGGCAGAGGGAAAGAGACAGAATCCTCAAGCAGACTCCCCACTGAGCACAGAGCACCAAGAAGGGCTCAATCCCAGGACCCTGAGATCATGACCTGAGCCGAAGTCAGGAGTCGGCCACTTAAACAACTGAGCCACCCAGGTGCCCCTCACAATTTTTTTTACACTGAATTGAACTTTAAGGTGGGAGGTTTATATAAGATCAGACACCCAGTTTACCCTGAGGCAACAACCATCAGGGCATGGGTAAGGGACATTTCATCTGTTTATCCCCTTCTATTTAAAGGATACCAGCTTAATTATTTTACCATGTCCTGATCTTACAACTTCCTTCTCTGGGTATTCGTAGCAGATATATAGACACAAACTATTTCTTTTAAACCACAGGATTCTAAATACCAACCTCTGCAAGTATCTGCATTTGAATGTATCATTTTTTGAAGAAATGAGATTTCAAGTTGAAATAAAGTGATATATTCCTTAATGTTCCCAATCTTTCAGCCTGAGATCATTAGTGATGTCATTCAGTCACTCAGGGGCCACACGTGCCCTTCCGTTTGATACTCTCCCTACTTTCACTATCATCTCTCAAACACCAAGGGGAAGGGTCAGCTGCTCTTCATTACAATGCTTGTACTGTGGTTTTTCTTAGTGTAAAGTTAGCAAAGGTAATATTTCTCATATCCATATCTTTGTCAAAAGTAAGGAAAGGAGAGATAAATCACACGGCCACAATCATATTTCTTTGTGAAGAATTATTTGTATGCTTAATATGCACATAAATTATACCTCTGTTTTTAAAAACAACAAAAAACTTAAGACACTGTTATGAAATACACCTAAGTTATTTTATTCATTTATACTATCCTGGATGGCCTTTAAGCAACTGAGTTTGTAAACCGAGTGCAGACTTCTCAATTTAAAAATAATTAACTTAGGCCCAGAAAATTCAAATGGCTTGCCAAAGGCACTGGGCTAGTTTTGCTTTAGCTCAACAAACACTCACTGAACACCCAGCCACTGTGCTAGGCACTGCTCATACAAAAGCTGTGAGAAACAGGAGAGACGAACTTAAATGGACACTGTCCCTACCATACTGGTGAAGACAGTGACAGAGGTGTGCACAGATGCTACAGGGTAGAGAACAGGGGCATCCTAAATCAGTCTGGAGAAGGAAATGACATCTGAGATGAGAGTTAAAGGATACAAAAAAGAGTTATCCAAGGAAAGAGGGGCAGGGCAGGAGAGCCCAAGCAGAGCACAGAATGGGGAGTCCATGTACTCACTCTGTTCACGTTGGGAGAGCTAATACTCCTCCTACTCAGCTTCCCCTTTCCTGTCAACTGTTCCTTCACTGTAACTTCCTGTCAGTCAGAAAACATACAGAGGAAAAACACAGATCAGAGACCCACCTCCAAATCAGTACCATGCACAGCAGTGTTTGAGCTACCATCTCTACATACACATTCCTGGTTCTTTAAATCATAGCTGTTTCTTTATGCCTTGGAAAGACCTAGTTCCAAACACTGTGGAGTATTCCAAGTTAACTGTACAGTGGATAGGTTACCTAGATTCTACATTCTTTTCTGTATCTATTGACCGCTGCCTTGAAGCTGACTAAACAAAAGTTAGTCCCAGGAGAAAATTGCCAAAATTAGATTATTCACTTTTGTTTTTCATAAGGATTTTTGGTTAAAACCAAAAAAGCCTCCATATTACTATGTAAAATGAGGTTTAGGGTTCCACTAAGGATTAGGTATACTGCTGGCATCTCTATTATCCCTTTGAGAGATCTACCCTAAAGCTGTGGCAGGCATGACCAGCTAAACAAGAAAGGGCCCATTCTGCCACCTTCCTACATATTTCTTCAGCAACGTTATTGTCCACTATCAAAGAATTTATAAAGTAATTCTTCAGCCAGCAAGAGTTAAGTATTTTCTCCCATTACCTCAAAGCAACTTGATACCATTTAGCACCTTGGTAAAAGTAAACTTCCAAGTGGAGCTTTTGTATGTTCAGACTTAAGTGACAAATTTAATCTAAATTAATATGCTGCACTTAAACAGATACTTCCAAAGTTTAGATGTAACAACACTGTGAACTGCAGAGAGGCAAAGAGAATCAGGCTAGGTTCGCACCGCTACTACCAGCTCTGTTGGCTAACCTGGCGGAGACGATCTAAAGTGAGAAGGTTCTCCACAGCCAGCACACTTCTGAGGTATTTTTCAATATAAGCCTCTGAGTCAGCAGAAGCTGTGTTTTCAACATTAGCTGCCATTCTTGCTAATGTTTCTCGTTCCTCTACTCCATGGGCATCCTGGAGAACAGAAAGCTGTGTATTAAAATTAAGTACTCTATAGAAGAAAACATAAAAGCTTCTTAATCTATACAAACATACACACAGAGAGTACTGAGCTAACAAATGGGATGTATTCCAAAATTCCATTTTAATGCCAGCTTTTGGAACTCAAAATGCATTTTCCCAGAGAAATCGTGGTATAAATGGTGATCAGATTAACTTGCAAGGTTAAACCCAATGCCACTGAAACACAGCACATTCTTAATAAAACTGTCCTCTGCTTTTTTCCTACTGCAAACGAAAACGTTATTGGTTAGAAAGGATTTGGTGGAAATAGCTGGAAATACAACCAACCACCACAATACTTCAGAAATACATCACTGAGGCAAGAGACAGGAATGAGAAGCTGGGGTCCAAACAGTGCTAGTAGGAGGCAGACACAAGAGAGTAAGAATGAAAGTAGGGCGGCTTTCAACCCTTTCACTCAGCAGCCAACCATGGACTACATGTTCAACATGTGGCAGCTTCTAAAATTGGTTCCAATCCTCAATCCTCAACACAGGCTACAGGAGGTGTAGCACCCACCAAGAAGAAAAGTATCTCGGTAAATTCTCACTCACTGTGCTTTCCCCCAGAGCCCAGCCCTGCTCCTCTCATGTGGGTGCCCCATGCATATCAATGGGACGCTCACAAGTCAGGGAGGGCTGTTGTTAGTGCATTTAATCATGTCAGGCTAGCTTGGCTCATAACAAATTACTCTTCTCAGAGAAAATCTGATACTTTATTTACTTGTGAATTTGTTATAATAATGTCACAAACTACAAAATATATAGCCATATGCCACTGCATCTTAAGATGCCATCAACTTTAAGGAAAAAAAATATTTTATATACCACTAAGGAGGAAAAAAAAACTCTGCCAATTAACTTTAAGATATCAATTATAAGACACATTCTAACATCAAAATTATTTTTAAAAATTTAAGCGAGCTTTATTACAGATAAAATATGGAAGAATCTGGAAGGTGGCTTAAGTTCACAAAACTTCTACCTCCTGTAGTGATTCATTTGGGCCTTTTAATAACCCTGAAAAGAAGCAATCATCCTCATTTTACAGATGAGGAAAAAGGAAAGCCACATAACTGGCAAAAAAGGCAAGATCAGGAGTCAAGAGACTAAGTCCTAATCTTGCATATTTTGCCAAAGTACAATCTGCATCTCCACACTCACTCCTTGATTTCAGACAGTGAGTGTCACAGAAGGAACTGCTCTACTCTTTTCCACGGTCCTTTTCTTAGAAGCCTCCCTTCCCCCACCCCGTTACCAGCTGTGCCACAGACCAGATGAAGAATCTGGGATTAAATATTAGGAAGCACATATATAAACTACATCATGCATCAAGCTTCCGTGGGGGGGGGGGGGTATTATAAACTCCATATGCTTGATTCCTATGACTTTCTCAGTTTAGAAAGAGAAATAACAAGAAGAAAATAATAGAAACTATAATAATGGCAATTACAATCAACTGCTCAGTGTGTGCACGACTTATATATATCATCTCATTTAATCCTTAAAAACAACCCTGTACAGAAGCTATCACTAACCCAATCTAATAAATGAAAAAAATTGAGGCTCCAAGTAACTTACCAAGTTCACCTCACTAATAGGTGACAAAAATAAGATTTCTGTGTGATTCCAAAACGCAAGCCTGAATCTCTGTTTTCAGGGACGTGCTATGTTACGTCCCTTTGAGGGGGACAATATTGTTATCTTATGTCTACTAAGAGTAAAAAGGAGCACTGTCTTCTAGGAGTGTTGATTTGCTTTTTAAAAGGAACTCCTTTGGGGCGCCTGGGTGGCTCAGTGGGTTAAAGCCTCTGCCTTCGGCTCAGGTCATGATCCCAGGGTCCTGGGATTGAGCCCCACATCGGGCTCTCTGCTTAGCGGGGAGCCTGCTTCCTCCTCTCTCTCTGTCTGCCTCTCTGCCTACTTGTGATCTCTGTCAAATAAATAAATAAAATCTTAAAAAAAAAAAAAAAGGAACTCCTTTAACAAAATACTAAAACCAGAACCTTTAAGACACAAATATATTTTACAATGAATCACATTAAGATTAGGAAATTTCTTCTACAAATCTATAGTGTTTACCCAAATACACAATTTCATTGACTATATATTTCTTAGGTAGGTGACTTTCAAGGAGTTAGTTAGCTCTTTTTACATGTTTATTTTTTGTAAACTCAAACTTCATATGATCCTTCACCTCTGGAATATTGGAGACAATTTCAAAAGTCACTCCACAGCCAGGAATAGAACTTCGATGTGACATCTTTTTTAGGAGACTCTGAGCAAAACCCTAGAGAAAAACAAAAAAGAAAGATACGGTTTCCTACCTCAAAAACTGAGTTTTCATTAACAAAGAGCTCAAAGGATACTGCATTCACCCTAACCAAAAAGAAACAGAGCATATTTCCGATATAAGCAAGCTGAAACCCAAATCACTAAATACAGGCTCTTCAACTTTGTCTCAGCACACAAAAATCAATTTACTAGGCTCCTGCCCTTTGACAGGTCCTACACCCAATATATGAAGAATATAAACCCAAAACTCTAGAAACTGACACTGGGCATCTGGTTCAGGTCTACTTAAAGGCTACGGAAATAAGACTGTTGACTTCGATAAAATAAAATGACCTTCTAAGATGTGAGTGAGGACTGGTGACTCTTACACTTTTTTTTCACCAGTACGATGGACATCTTGCAGCATGAATATTGACAAGTTCAGGCATTAAATTCTTGACCAAAGCAGGATCGTTATGAAGAATGATTTAAGAGTGCACGGTCATTGTTTATGCTGACTGTGCTCTTCGCACAGTTAAGAATTGAACCGTTGAATTAATGCATAGATGACTCATTTGAAGATGCTGCTAAGACTGAACATCCTGTAGAGGTTGAAGAGAGCAGGGATGAGGGCAGAATACAACTGGTGAATAAAGATAAGAAGAAGAGAGAATTTTAAACCAACACCCAACCTTTTCCCTCATGCAAAAGGGAAGTAGGAAATATGTGAAAACTCCCAAAGAATATAGAAAAATTAAGCCACTTGGTCTTAGAAGTACATAATTTCACAAACCTATTTAATACTAATTTCTTTCCTATTCAGTGCTCTTTAGTTACTTTTTTAAAAGACCGTAGCTCTTAGAATGCAAAGAGACCACTGATTTCAGCCCTTCGTGAGCCTTGCAATGCAGAGCCACAGCCCATTACACCAGTCAGGGAACAGCTAAGGTTTTTTTTTTTTTCCCATGGTTCAGGTAGGGAGGGGGGTGCTGTTGTTAATTTACCTTTTGTTTTCTTTCTGTATGGAACTATTGAAGCTGATTTGCATATATGAGCATCATAAGGAATATTAGTGTCATAGGGAAGTCCCCATTCTTGTCATAAAGAAGCAATTTTTAGGACTGAAAGATCTGAAACTGGGAGGAAACCCAAGTCATTTTCTTAGGTTTCCTCTTAGGAGGAAAACTGGCATGTCCTAAAGTACTATCATGTCATTCAGTATAAATCTGATAATATCACGTCATTTCATCCGGGGGAAAAACGGAGGTAAATTCTTGCCACTATAAGAAAAAATTAAAAACAAACAAAAAAGACACCACCACCAGAGGAAGCTTGGTGACTCCACGATGCATCCTTTCTGTTAAGGATTCGGTGGGGCTGGTGCCGTACCAGGCCAGTCTCGTTGCCTGGCAAGCAGAATCTCTAGCTCAGGAATGGCAAATCACTCTTCAAAATGCTCCTCAAGAGCAACGCATCTTTTTCTATCCTTTAAAGACTTCCAAGAAGAGAGAGTTGGAGAAAAGAGCGAACAGGAGACACACCATATACGTCTATAGCTCACCCGATGACCCGGATTTTATTGATGCTGGATTGCCAAGCTAAAGACCTGCAATTTTCACAGCATTACCACCAGTCTTCATTTCAAAGATGGATATCAGTGTGACATTTAGAACTAAAGATTAATTTTTAGGGGTGGAGATTACATCTAGGACTCTGTCAACCGTGACTGTGCTCTTTTAAATGAAAAGATTTCTTTTCATCTGTCCTGGTTTTAGTCAGTGTGTTGAGAAGGCCTCAAAAAAAGTGAGCACAGACAGTTCAAAGAATCCCTAGAATGAGCCTCCCAAATCCTGTATTTGCAAAGTCAATGGCAGAAATAGTTTATGTTCTTCCCTTGAAGCTGTCTACTAAACCCAGTCATACGGCACGAGGTCCCTCATAATCCAGCTCCAACTGTATGGACAGCCAGGGCCCCACCTCTGCGGCACGCCCTGTCACAATGCCTGTCACACTCCGCAGCTCGAGGTCCCAGTCAGCCCTGCCCTGTCCTTCCTCACCCCCTGCACTGAACAGCGTATGTCCTCCTCTGGCACGGTGTCTGTAAAGGAATGGCCGGCATGCTACACCCTGGCTCTGATGGCTTCTCGGACGTGCTCTCCATGGCTTCGCCCGCAGTCTTCCCGCACTCAGGGAACACCTGCCTTCCCGCACTAACCCAACAGAGGCGCCGTCTGTTTATTCAGCTACACACGCTGATGGACACTGGTGGTTTCAAGATGCAGACTAATTCTTACTCATCTTGCTACCCAAAAGCTCGACAGAGTACACTATCCAAATATTTGAGTCCACACATTAGCAGAGATGACTGAGAGGGCAGAAAGAAGCACAAAGCAGAGGGTGAGTCCAAGCAACAGCTAATCTGCAGAGAACTGTCACGTCTTGTGCGACCCAAAGGTAAAGCCAAAAACCTAGAACTGCGCTTTGACGGGGCATTGGGGCACCCATCTGTGACTCTGTAATAAGAAGGACTCACTGTAATAACTGAACACTATCTAGGAGGAAGTCAGAACAGCAGGGGCCGGGAATGAAGCAGACCCAATTACACGACAGCAAGGGCTGAGTTGAAGAGAAAAGTGAAACAGTTCATAGAGGCTGTGTGGACAAGAGGCCAGAGCAATCATTCCTGGCCCTGCCCCTAATTGGACCTGTGATTAAAATCAGTTCTTCAACTGGGATTAATGACTCACCTGCCGGCCATGAACATGGACACAAATTCGTTTCCGTAATACCAGCTGCATGTCGGCCGGATGGCTGAGCTGGACTGTCACCCGCACAATCAGATACACGCGCTCATCTGCTGGAGTGCCTTTACTGAGCTGAGGACAGCTGTGCACGGCAGAGTCCCAAGAGGCTTCTGCTCTCACCTGCGGGGACCAAAAGAACATACTTTGTTTGCCCTCTCCTCCTGAACACAAAACACTTCACAAGGAAACATACTGGCTTGGCTGAAGTTGGACATACTGGTCCCCACTGAAGATCTACTAGAAGTGGCCTGAAAGACTCCGGGATGTGAGGATGTGGCCTCCATCACTCTAGTCTGGGAAGTATAGGGGATAATGTTCTTGGCTGGTGGGATTCTAAAATGTTTTTATTTTGCAAAATGCTCAAACATAAAGGAAAGATGTAAATTCAGGACAATGAACTCCTGTGTTATCTTCCATCTAGAATCATCAGCTATTAATATTTTGCCACTTCTCCTTTCTCTCTTACAACTCATACACATGCAGGATTATTTTTTGCTGAACCGCTTTTGAGTCAGTTACAGACCTGTTACTCTACCTGCCTAAAAAGATTAACAAGTATCTTCTAACAGTGAGAACATCCTCTGACTTAACTATAGGACAATTATATTCAGGAAATTTAACATCAACACAATACTATGATATAATACAGTCCATATCCAAATCTTTCAACTGTTCCAATCCAGGATCACTAACTGCACTTAGCTGTCATGTCCCTTTAGTCTACTTTCATCTGGAATGGTTCCCCAGCCCTTCTTTGTCACCCATGACACTGATAGGACCACTGTTGTATAGAAGGCATCACAGTCGGGTGTGCTAGCTTTGCCCCCTACTATTGAAGTTTTGCATCTTTTAGGAATACCACTAAGGGATGATGTGCCCTCCAGAGCACCCCATCAGCTTTCCTCGCTTTAACTACTTTTTCACTTTTCCAGTATACTCAAAACTAGAAAGTAAGCCCCCACTGTACACACATCACCCAGATTCAAACATTATCAAGATTTTGCCACACTGCCTTTATCTACTCTTTTTGCCCTCTTCTTAAAATGTCTTTACTGAAGAATTAAAGGAGATCCCAAACACTGTGTCATTTTACCTATATGCACTTCAGTAGCATTTCCCCAGAGAGGGGACCACTGCTGGCCTGAACTATGAATACTAACAGAGATCCTTTACCAGAAGGGGAACTAATTTGACCGTCCACTCCTTCTGGAAGGGGTTCCACTCTTTCTGGAAGTCACAATGAAAGGTTTTCATTTATATTTCTTGAGAAATGTAAGCATTAAAATGATTACATTGCTGACCATTTCAAAAGACATATGGAAAGGTTAAAGAAACTAGTTTTCATATGATTTTCCCTACTTATGCTTTGTTTACCTCTCCATCATGCTGTTTTACAATCTGCAGTTCAAAGAACTCATCCTCTTCTTCCCCGGTTAGGGTAGCATCCCATCCACCAGCTTCTGGGTCATCAAGATTATCTTGGGAGCTGAAATCATCAGCTAAAAGCAAGTTCCATTAAATCAGAGATCATTTCAAAGGAAAACCCCTACCAGCTAAATTTCAATGTGCTTAGTATTAAAATTCTACTGCCTCAAATTTCATTTGCTTTTGGCTCTAAAATCTCACATGACATGGAAGAGAACCATTAAACAGTTCACAGTTCTTAGAGATGGATAGACTCTCAAGAAATTATCTTAACCAATCTCCTACCTTTATGCCTTATTGTACATGGAAGGCAAATGAAGCCAAGATACCCAAGAGATTACTCAAGGTCAGCCCGTAAATGTTAATGATAGGATTATAACCCAAATTCCCCATCTTTTAGTGCACTGAAGAAATGAGAAGCGAGAGTGATTCCAATTATCTGACCGTTAAGTTCAACAAAAGAATCAACTGGCTACATGAGCCAAAAACTTGGAGGGTTGCCCCTTGGCCCTTTAGTTATTTAGTTCTAAGTCTGGCCCTCCCAACCCCCTATCCATCTTAAGCTTGTGAGCAGCCATCAAAGTATCTTTCTAGTATGTGGGCTTATGGGGATCAAGAATGGGCATCAGGCTGCACAAGTTTTTGATCATGTCTTGGGATGTCCATACAAACAGGTCTTCTATAAGCTTATTCTTTCCCGCTCTTACCTTCCTACACACGTGCACAAGCACGTGCACACACGAGCCCCTCAACTATCTAGGAACCTAACGTAAGGACAGTAGGCCCTGGAGTAAGCTTCAGCTCCAAGGCGCCAGAGAACAACAAGGTAGGCTAGAGAGCTGTGGCAAAACACTGAAACCGTTGCAGGTGGACAGACAGTAGAAGTGACTTAAGCATTATTTGCTAACTCTGTGTGCACACAAAATTTTCCATATGTCTAAATAAACCAAGTAGTACAAGATGCTAAATACCTTAAGTTATTATAACTCACTTTCAGCTGGGTGGAAACAAACCACTGAGGACATCCAAGCTTGCCTATCTAGGACAGTTCATTATAATACACAGTTTCTCTGCAGATGTTTTAGGAATTTAACTGCTGACTTTTACCTTATCATTAGCTCTTTAATCTACCTTTTCATTTTTATTTTCCTTCCTTGGACAGAATAAATGTAAAATGTAGCCACATCTAAAATATTTTATATGAAGGAGAAAAAAGTCAGAAAAATTGGACAGTTTCTCACAAATAAGCAATGCAGGAATGAGGGCATAAGAACTCAGAGGAGCGCCTGGGTAGCTCAGTGGGTTAAGCCTCTGCCTTCGGCTCAGGTCATGATCCCAGGGCCCTGGGACCCAGCCCCGCATTGGGCTCTCTGCTCAGTAGGGAGTTTGCTTCCCCCTCTCTCTGCCTACTTGTGATCTCTCTCTCTCTGTCAAATACATAGATAAGTAATCTTAAAAAAAAAAAAAAAAAAAAAAGAACTCACAGAAAAAGTGAGAAATTTATTAGCTAAGGTTAAGAAAACACCAGATAAAAGAAAGCATCCTACATAAGCATCACTAGTTATTAGACCTTTCCAGAGAGAAGTCTTTTCCTAAGAATAAAGAAGACAACACTGAAGTGCAGGGAAACACCTGCTACTGCTACTTCACATGAAGAGAAGAACAAAGCACACACGCAGCCGTTAACGGATTACCCAGTGAAATGTGCAAACGCCCTGGGATGAAACATACCTACCTCTGCTACAGAAATATTACTCTTACAGAAAATTCATTCTGAGTCAAGTGTCAGTGTCCCTCCGCATACATAAAATAGACCCTAACCATACTCTTACAGAATTGCCTAACTGCAGACTTCGTTAGAATCTAAGTGTTACTCGGACACTAATTTGTCTGAGGTAAGCCTTTAGAAAGCATCTCCTAACTTACCATTTAAGTCGAGGAATATAACAGGAATGTGTGTTTCCATCCCAGGAACTGGGGTCCTAAAACATAATAAACAAATAGCACCTCAAATAAAGCCGACTTTCTCAGCAGAATGTACTTTGAGACACAGCGTTAACCCACACTGAGAAGTATTACAGGTCGAGCCAATAACACTGTGGGTATTGTGTTTTTGTCATAATTTCACATCAGAGATGCCCCAAAGACTTACCTGTAAATGCTGCTTCTTTTCACTGGTGCTCTTGTGTATAATTATCATACGTTCTGATCCTAGAATTCAGTCTTATAAGATACAGCTACCTGTTTGTAATTGAAGCTTCCTTGTTTAAAGTTACTTTCTTAAAAAATTATATACCTAAGGGCCCCATATGGCTTAATTTACTATTTTTAATTTCTATAAAGTGGCACAGAACATTTGCTGACAGTACAGTTTAAGCCAGCACAAAACCAAAAACTCCTGGAGATGCAATTTTATTATGAACGAATGGTCCTTTAAGGGAATGACCCAAGTAATTAACATATTAACTTTTCTTTTTTAATGCTAAGTGCAGTGGTATTAAATATTGATTTAGATTCTCAGAATTCTTAATTACTTGGGCCAATAGCAATATTATTTAATAAAACAGTTTTAAGCCATAGTTACTCCAACTCATGAAAATAATTTAACACTTCCTCTAATTCAAACTTTTCCCCCTATGCTATGATGAGTCTTCCATTAGTTGAAACAGAGGCAAAACTGATATGGAGAGTGCGCAGCTCAGTAAGCATCTGAAAAGTCTGAAGATATGTGGCAGCATTCATACCATTCTGCTGGGGCCCCTGGAATGCCACTGCCAGCGGAGGGGACCATGACTGCATTTCGCTCCTCAGTCAGAGTCAGCCTCATCTCTAGAAGTTGCGCTTCACGGTCAGCATCATCCTCTGTTTTATCTAGAACATCAAGAATGAAGATCAAATATAGACTTCTCACTTGATTTACACTTTCATCCTGCATATCAACAGGATTTGATTTGACTGTATTCAGGTACTGGTTGATGAGGGTTCACCGAAAACTTATTACTTCCCTAATTAGTAATAAAAAAAATCACAGTAAGAAATGAACTATAAGCTAAAGAGCTGGTGTACTCTTATAGAAAGGCCATCTCTGGCTCACGGAAGGCCGCCATGGGCCAGCACATGAATAATTTCTTCCAGAATTAGAGGATTCAGGTGCTTTTGGATAAGAAATCAAGAACGTTAGCATCCCCCTTAATTTATTTTTGAAGGACAATGTTTACATACTGTATTTTCTCTCTTTGTTGGGGGTGGGGGGGAACTTACAGAAAGACATCATTACAGTTAAATAAATGTTATTCTGAAAGGATATGACATTAATAAGTAACATTCCTATACGCATTATTGATGTGTCCATCTACTTCTAATTTATATAGCTGCAAATGAAATTAATTATGCACAGATTTGGTGGGGGGGGAGGAAATATTCAACTTGCTTTTCTTACCATGTTTACTGACAAGCTTCTGCAGTTGTTGATCTAAGTATTCCTGACGTTTTGTTAACGCATTTAGCCATTTTCGACGCAGTCTCTCTAAATCCCGATCCTGGAAGAAAGCACGGGAAATTATGGCAAATATAATGTCAAGACAAGATATTTGAAACCAATGCTCCGTCTACCTTACTCTAAGGCTTCAAAAATGTGAAGTATTATATATCAATCTGTTTATTACCACTACTAGTTGACTCCAATCATTATTCAGAACAGGAAATTCCAGAAATCAAAGCACTGCTGTTACTGGAAAAAGACAGCTTCTGAAAGGGCATTCTCTGATATCTAGAACCAGTTTTATTTCTATTGGTTTGAGAGGCAGAACTCCAAGTAACTAAGATCTACAATGTCCCTCTGCTGGATAAAAATCACAAATACTTGGGCACTAGCTGGCTATCAGGAGAGCATATGACTCTTGATCTCCGGGTCGTGAGTTTGAGCCCTACACAGAAGGTAGATATTACAAAAAAAAAAAAAAAAAAAAAAGGGAAAACCTAAAAAAAAAAAAAAAAAAAAAATCACAACTACTACCGAATAATCTTCAATTCTATATCTGTGGGAACCATCATAAGAATTCCTCAAACTTCTTACCTGTTTCAGCCTTCAACATGTTTCACTGGTCTCTACAAACAGCATGTAAATGCTTCTCTCCCTTATTTCTTGTGGGGGGTTTTTGGAGAGGAGAGGGGGCGTTATCACCAGACTAAGAACTCTACCAATCAACACCCGACTGTATACCAATCTTGCCTCGTTTCCTTTCATAATAAAGTTAACAAGACTGGGTAGATCAGTGGAATGCTGAGGATACAGTGTGTATCTGGATTTCACTAAAGCACTTAACCAAATAGCTCATGACGTTCTTGTAGACAAGATGGAGAAATGTGCAATGAATCTACTTGAATGAAATCATAAATGACTGAAATATCACATCCAAAGAACAATGATTAATGGAATAATGTCAGCTTAAAAGAAGTCTCTATTGTTGTGCCATACGACTCTGTATTTAACCCTATCTGATCCAATATTTTTATCAGTCACTTATAGGAAGGCAGACATTTTTATCAAATTATAATGATGCAAAACCAGGAGAGTGACTACACTGGATGACATAATCAGGATCCAAAGAGCTCTGACAGTCCTAAACAATGACTAGCAAGACTAACAAGATAGAACTTGACAGACATAAACAAAATCTTGCAGGAGATTAGGAAGGGGTGGCGGGCAAAACCAAACCTGTGTGACTCTTGCAAGTGGGAAAGGGTGACCTAGTTTAGAAGATGGAAAATACCTAACCAGTGTTGTTTGACTGAGGCTCATTATGAGATAGCTCTTACAGGGAAAAGTGTGGGCGACTCCACTCAAGGAGAGAAAGAGTGTAAGAATAAGGATCTGGAGAAATGGATCTGTAGGGAACTTAGATGCAGAGCTCCAGGTTTGGAAAAGGGTAACAGTCACAAATGATTTCCTACACTGAAGTCTACGAAACTTGTTTTAATTTGAGAAAAAGCAGTATTTGATTCAAAATTAACTGTGTAGTTATTAAGTAACAGTATGACAAGACTCAGGAATGCGTGATTCAGCACTGGAATCCAAGCACATTTGATGAGGCCAACAGGTACTTCCTTACCTGGTAGCTGTCCATGTCCTCCTCTTCCTCCTAAAAGAAAAAATGGAAACTAAAACAATCATTTTTCCAGGAGTCAGACTATGCTCAACAACCAGAATCTTTTCCCATACTTCATATTTTCTAATTTAGTGAATATATTATTTCTCACCTATGCTCACCCTACTCTCGGTTTTTTATAGTTTTCAGGAAGTTGGAGTCAAACCTTAAGCTTCTCATAGGAAAGTGAAGAACACTCATTTGACCTTTTTAGGAACCAGTACAATACTTTCCCTGCTGGGTTTATAGTCCCACTCCCCAGGAGAAATCAAACACCTGCTGGCAAACAGTCTTTACAAGCCAGCAGGGGGTTTCTGCAGAGGGGGTGGGTGATAGGGGAAGTTAATCACCAGTAGACAACCAAGGAACTTCTAGAGACTTCAATGTCTTAACCCTCAGTCTGCCATTTACCAGGGCAAAACCAACAGTCTGGTGCAAGTGCAGCGATTCCATGCAAATGCAATATAGTAAAAAAAAAAGAAAGAAAAGAAAGAAAGAAAGAAGGAAAGAAGAAATCAAAGAAAAACGAAAGAAAAAACTGAAAGAATTGTTCAGAGAAGGCAGTTTTCAGGCAGGTTCCAAAAGACTCTCTTATCTTGTCAGGTCTTTCAGCAAGAACATAACTGGCACAGAAACTTACATGAAAGGTCTCATGAGTCTTCGGGGATCTCAGTGTTCTAACTTTTACACATCCAATGCCAACAGACAATATACATTCTTCCATCAATGGTAAAGTCCCAGATTCCTGCACAGACTTCACTTCCACTTGGACTCGCCGGGACTGTCCCTGTATCACAGGTATTTTGCTTAAAAATCAGTTTAATTTCTAAAAATTTGGTTAAGAGAGACCCCTACAGGCTGATGTTGAGAAAGCATTTAACTCTGGAGACATTGTTTCACCATATATTAAAAATTAAGCAGTAAACTACCAATTGAAAAACTAATCAGGAAAAATAATTTAACTTTTCAGCAAATGGAAAGACATGGAATATTTATGGCTTGCATACTTTTTCAATAAAAAGAAACATTAAGAGAAAACATTCTAACAAAGGAAATGCAAAAAAGAAAAGGACAATAAAAACTGTTAAACTCACTTATAAAAAATACAAATTAAAATAAGCACAATACATCTTTATTTTCACTTACTAAACTAGCAATTATCTTTTAAAAAGGCAATTTCTGATAGTGCCCATAGGTTATAAATCAGGTGATTACATACATCGTTGCTGGGAATATAAACTGGTAAAGCTTTCTGCAAGGCAATCTGCCTTAAAAATATAAGGATCCCTTGACCAGCAATTCAACTTTCTAGGAATCGGTTCTCAGTAAATAATCATATGTTGTATAAGGAATCTTAAAGCAATATATGTTAAGAATAACAAAAAAACAGACACAAATATATAAAATTAAAACTGTTCAAACTGTGCGTATATAATAATATATAATAATATTAGTCATTAAAATATTGCTGGAAGAAAACATATGTGATATATTAAGTTAAAAAGTATGGTTGGGGCATCTGGGTGGCTCAGATGGTTAAGCGTCCAATTCTTGATCTCATGATCTCTGGGTCATGAGATCAAGTCCTGCATGGGGCTCAATACTGGGTGTGGAGCCTGCTTTAAGATTCTCTTTTCCTCTCCCTCTAGCCCTCCCCCACCACCATCTTGCCCTCTCAACCTCTCAAAAAAAAAAAAAAAAAAAAGCATATGGTAAACAATGTTAACCAGACCTTTAAAAAAAAAAAAAAAGAGATTACCAAACCCAAAAATATATTATGATCTACTTTTAAAAATAAGCAGTCAGAAATAAGAATGATGACCACTACCCTGGATTCACCGCTCTAATCCCAAATAATTTAAAACCGGGCTGCAAAATGAAAAATTGAGCAGAGAGAAGCTGTTCCGTCTTACATAAACTTTCATAATAAACACAATGTGATCCTCTATGTTTATAATGAAGTAGTATTTTACAAGAAGATCCTCCATATTCCCAAATTACTGACCTCAAAGTCAGTTTGTGAATTTCAGGGATGTAAAACAGAATTTGAACAATGGAATCTGCATGTGTAACTTTAAGTCAGTTACTCTTCCCCTCTTCCATCAGATTTTAATTCCCAAGAGCTTCGTGTTATCAGGGAAATCAATTTAGGCAATGATTAATCAGAAGACTAGATTTGAAGAGATGGGTTACAGCTGTTTTTGATTTAGTATTTTCCAAGGATTATGTGTCACGTATCTTGTGGAAAGAGTACCTCAGAAAACATTTTAATTTAAAATAGTTCAGTCATTTCAATTAGCCACAGTTTTGTTTGTTTACTTTGTTTGAAACAAAAAGTAACCTACTCTGTGTGTGGGCCCACACTGGGAGAGTGAGTCCTAGGCACTGTAGGGGGAGGGTTCAAGGTTGGCACAGAAAGAAAAAGGAGGGAAAGATCCAGAACAGCTACTATCCCACAGAAAAGCTTTTAAACAGTATACTTAAATTCACAGGTTGAACTTCCTGTAACTGCTAATATTTGAGCATTTTTAAACTACAAAACAGGCAATTTCATATGTTCTCCTCTGCCGTTTTACTGTTCAAGAACAGTAGGTTCTAGTTTTGAAATATTTTAATTCAAATGAGCCTACCATCCAAGTCCTTCTATCAACGAGCCACACATGCTTCTATAACCTCCTCTTTTACTGCTTTCCAGGTCTTCCTACATGTTACTTTCTCCCCAAATTTACCTAATTCCAACCATTGTGTCTTTATTGTTGTTGTTTATGTATGAAAAAAAGCCTTTGCACTACTGATTCAGCATCCACGTCAAGACCAACACCCTTCAAAAAAAAGAACCTTTCCTGATGAACTTAAGTCATCTTTGAACACTTTTAGTAAAGGCTGTCAGAAATATGACAAATACTTATATATTCTATTTATACTAAACCATAGAGAATTATCTGGTCTTGCCTTCCAGGGAACGAATTTCTGAGGCATCCAAAAAAGATATATATATAGCTTTAACAGATGTTCAGAAAAAGATGTTCTTCACACCCTTAAGAATCCTATTTTATGTATATATCTGATGCTACAGTTTAAACTAATTTCCTTTTCCTTTCAATTCTTCGCCCATACATGAATGAATTTGCTAAAATCCACTTGCTGGGGTCAGGGAACAAATGCTGACCAGCTTTCCCCTTCTGAAACATTCAGAAACTTAAACATTTAAGCAAACTTTCTTTTTCCTTTAACCTTTTCTCATATTCTGCTTTGAATGATTTCAACATTCATTTTCAAGAGCTATTCTAATATCTTCCCATTGTTCTAAAGTATAGAAATTATCATGGTATATAATATTCTACTAAATTTTGAATTGATGTAATGTAGAGTAAAAAGTATTTCCAAATCTCCCATGTAAATTCTACATTTACATATAGAAAATAAAGATACATATAGATACATATGTATCATAGAAAATAAAGATACATATAGAAAATAAAGATATTTTCTCTTTAGCTGGCAGCAGAAACGCTTTACAGATTATAATCCACCTGGGGTTAAGTGACAATTCCTACCTATTTCTCTGCTACACTGATTTCTGGCAGGCATTCATATCTACTTAGCTGCATTTATTTAATACCTCCTGCCGTATCCCAGAAAGATATTTGGTCTTTGTCCTCATGTCCTGGCAGAGAGCTCCTGAAACTCTCAGAACTTCCTGAGTGATAATGATTATAAGTGTATCTTTTAATGATGCAACTTTAAATCTGACAGTTCTTGGTAGGCCCCCAGGTAGCTTTAGGAAGGGGGCTGGCAGCAAAAAACAAACAAACAAACAAAAAAACAAGGCTTCACTGGAAGTTTGTAACTGTCAGCCCCACCCCAAAACCTCTGTACAGAGCAGAGAAGGGATGGAGATCAAGTTAATCACCTACGGCCAAGCTTTATGCCTGCATAATGAACATCCATAAAAGCCTACAAACAATGAGGTTCAGTGAGCTTCCTGGCTGGGGACAAATCAAGATGGTGGGAGGGTGGCACACCCTGAGAGGACATGAACGCTCCTTATACCTCTTCCCAGACTTTGTCCCAAGCATCTCTTCCATTGGGCTATTCCTGAGTTGTATCCTTTATTTAAAAAGACTAGAAACAAGTAAAGGGGAGGAGAGCTGGGCAAACCTCTGACTTTGTAGCCATGTTGAATAGAACTGAGGACCAGATATTTGCAACTGGCATCTGCAGTGAGGGAAATGTTGTGCTTAAGTCTGAGCCTTTAAACCTGTGGCGTCTGACACAAAACCGAATTGCATTGTGGGACACCACATTGGTGCCTGCAGAGAATCAGAGAAATGGCTGGTGTCAGGAGGAAAAGAACCCTTTCACCTTCCAAGTACCAAGTACTGTGCTTCACATACAGTATCTCTAAAGTTCATACTAGTCCTACAAAGTCGGTATTATCATCACACTTCCACTTTATACCTAAGGGAAGGTTCTGAGAGGTTACGGAACTTGCTCACAGATTTAGGGCTACGCTGTGGGAGACCAGAACTGAACCCTAGCACGTTACTAGCCTGTGAAGTGCTCATTCTTTCTGCCATGTCACACTGCTATACCTTGTCTTTAGAAATATTCTAATGTAACACTGCGTCATATGTTTCTATGGTCTCCTGCAATTCAATTCTAAGTCATTCTTTAAAGTTTATCTTTTTGCTTACTCAAACTTGAGAAGCTGGTTTTAAAATATTATAATTAACAATATATTTTTTTAAAGATTTTATTTATTTATTTGACAGAGATCACAAGTAGGCAGAGAGGCAGGCAGAGAGAGAGTGGGGGAAGCAGGCTCTCCGCTGAGCAGAGAGCCCGATGCGGGGCTTGATCCCAAGACCTGAGATCATGACCTGAGCCCAAGGCAGAGGCTCAACCCACTGAGCCAGCCACCCAGGTGCCCCTATGATTAGCATATTTTTTTTTAAATGAAAGGAAACAGATATGTAGTAGGAGACAATTTTAATAAAAGGATGGACTTGGAGAGTCTAGATTTCATTATCACCGATCTGATATTTCTGCTAACAGGAATCCAGTATCAAGCTTTACAGTGCCAAAGAATTTAATATTAGCATTCAGAATGATAACTTCCACAATTCTGTTACCTGCCGGAGTTGAAAGATTCCTCCTGTTGGCACATCCTTTGCAGAAATTACTTCTACAGGGCAGTATTCGCCATTCTCATTCTGTTCCAAGATTTGAACCCAGAACTCCACTTTTCTGGTAACTTCACTCCATCTAGGAAATAGTTGAAGTTCTTGGAAAATCATACATTTCTATTTCAATACAGGCAGCTTAGGATCCTTCACATGGAAACTAATAATGATAATGACCTCCAAACAGAATAATTCAGTAGAATGACCTGTAGTTCAATGAGTAATATACAAATATATACTAGCAAATATAATTAAACCAAAATTAAACATCAGAACTAGAAATGGTTCCTTCAGTTTGTTCAAAAAGGTATGATAATTACAAATCTATTTCAAAGTGGTTACTCAAAAATCTATATATGGTAATCAGAGGTCCAGAAGAAAGTACAATGATTATCTTCACATAGATAAAGGTAGTGATATATATGCTCGATTTAGTAACTTGAAAAGAATCTTTGCTCAGATTAATAACAGAATCAAGAAAAAAACCTCAATTCTAGTTAAGGATTTGCTGAAACATTCTAAACCCAAAACAAGAAAAAAAGAAAATCTGGATCTCTTCTACGATAAGATGGAAAGCACGAATACCCCCTTTCAGCCATTCCATTTTAACAGTCTTTTTAAAATCCTGGTACAAATACCTGCCTCCTTCCATGACTGATGGCATTTCAAAAGAACAATGCACTAAAGACAACGTAAGTAAAACCTGAATTCTAGAGAATATCTTGATCCATTCTCCCTGCAGTTGATTAACTAGAAGTAATTCAGAATAAGCAACTATTCTCCAAAAATTCACTCACTATTCTTAACTAACTCCACATTTAATATCTCTTCCGTCACTCTTCAAAGTTCACTCCTGTAAGGAAGTTTAAATGTGCTATAAATACCCTGGAAACAATAGCATCTATCCCTGGAATACTGGTAATGCTCAGGAAAGGGCTATCTTTATAAATGGCAGTATTAATCTCTAGCAAGTTTTCAAAATTATAAATGGAATCAGAAGGATATCCAAAATTCACCTGTCTCGAAGACTACGTGTTTTTGCTTGGATAATCCCCAAATCCCACAGGGCTGGGTTTTTCCGAGGATCATTCATCTTATGGCCATATACTTCAATTGCCAATGCCCCTTCTGAAAGATGTTCAATGAAGTCTTCAGTAATGTTAACAGAAAACTCCTGAAAGAAAATAATTACAGAGGAGGAAGTACTTTATGGTAACCTTATGATCACTTATATCCACTGCCATACACCCACTTCATGGAGAAGAGAAATGAAAAAAAAGTTTTAGTTATAGAACAGAACTGACATCTAATGTGCATAATGAATGCTCAGATGGTCTGACGTTCTTGACTTCAAACATAATTATAAATCTGATTTTTAAAAATATTTTTCACCTTGAAAATCTATTGTGAAAGACCAGCATTATATTCTATTTTCTTAGCAAAATTTAGGAAGCTATTTTTAAAGTACTAATAATTATATTAAGAATTTCAACAATGATTTACAATGTCTTGATATAAAAGGTATTAGATGCAGTATGGTAGCAATGCGTTAGGGTAACAATTTTTCCTAGCTTTTATGAAGTTAATTTTATCCTAATAACAGGAGAGTAAGGAAATAAATAATGATCATCAGTGCAAATAAAATCACCTAATTTTTGGAACATCGCCAAAGGCAACGGAAGCAAGGGCAAAAATGAACTATTGGGATTTTATCAAGATCAAAAGCTTTTGCACAGCAAAGGAAACAGTTAACAAAACCAAAAGACAACTGACAGAATGGGAGAAGATATTTGCAAATGACATATCAGATAAAGGGCTAGTGTCCAAAATCTATAAAGAACTTAGCAAACTCAACACCCAAAGAACAAATAATCCAATCAAGAAATGGGCAGAGGACATGAACAGACATTTCTGCAAAGAAGACATCCAGATGGCCAACAGGCACATGAAAAAGTGCTCCACATCACTCGGCATCAGGGAAATACAAATCAAAACCACAATGAGATATCACCTTACACCAGTCAGAATGGCTAAAATTAACAAGTCAGGAAACGACAGATGCTGGCGAGGATGCGGAGAAAGCGGAACCCTCCCACACTGTTGGTGGGAAAGCAAGCTGGTGCAACCACTCTGGAAAACAGCATGGAGGTTCGTCAAAATGTTGAAAATAGAACTACTCTATGACCCAGCAATTGCACTACTGGGTATTTACCCTAAAGATACAAACGTAGTGATCCGAAGGGGCACGTGCACCCGAATGTTTATAGCAGCAATGTCTACAATAGCCAAACTATGGAAAGAACCTAGATGTCCATCAACAGACAAATGGATAAAGAAGATGTGGTATATATACACAATGGAATACTATGCAGCCATCAAAAGAAATGAAATCTTGCCATTTGCGACGACGTGGATGGAACTAGAGGGTATCATGCTTAGCGAAATAAGTCAATCGGAGAAAGACAACTATCATATGATCTCCCTGATATGAGGGAGAGGAGATGCAACATGGGGGGTTAAGGGGGTAGGAGAAGAGTAAATGAAACAAGATGGGATTGGGAGGGAGACAAACCATAAGTGACTCTTAATCTCACAAAACAAACTGAGGGTTGATGGGGGGAGGGGGGTTTGGAGAGGGGGGTGGGGTTATGGACATTGGGGAGGGTATGTGCTATGGTGAGTGCTGTGAAGTGTGTAAACCTGGCGATTCACAGACCTGTACCCCTGGGGATAAAAATATATTATATGTTTATAAAAAATAAAATTAAAAATAAATAAATAAATAAATAAATAAAATAAAAAATCACCTAATTTTTAAAAATTCTCCCAATCTGTCCATCTTTACAAGATATATATGATAGTATTTTACAGTAATTACTAAGCTCTAAAACAGTTTATTGTAAAAAGTCATAGAACCTATACTTCTCTTTCACTATCACTCTCTCTTTTAATCTTTAACACACTAAAGGGTATTTCTATGTTTTAAATAGATTAGAAGGAGACCACTCCCTTGAAAACAATGAGATGGATTATTTGTGGTACAGTTAAGAAAAAAAAAAATCAAGAGTCTGACTAGCCATGGGTTAACTGATTCCTCTGTACCAGCTGCTTCTGCTGAAACAAAAAAATACCATTATCAAATACAACCGTGATAAAGATCAAATGAAAGAATATCATAAAGTGCTTAGCAGAGCATTAGGTATTCGATAAAGTTCATTCTTGTCTCTTTTCTATCTTCACTTTCTCTAAATACCAGTTTCTTAAACTTTTTAGATGACAATTTCTACAGTAATCTAATACAAAACATGGGTTCCTTTGAGAAGGGTATATAGAGTTGACCCTTAAACAATGTTGGAATAACAGGCACCAAACCCCTGTGCAGTCAAAAATCCACACATTACTTATGACTCCCCCAAAATGTAACTACTAATAGCCTACTGTTGACCAGAAAGCCTTCCCAATAACATAAACAGTTGATTAACACATATTTTGTATGTTATGTATATTATATACCGCATTCTTACAATAAAGTAAGCTAGGGAAAAGAATATGTTATTAAGAAAACTAAAGGGGGGGGGGTGCCTGGGTGGCTCAGTAAGTTAAGCATCCAACCCTTGATTTTGGCTCAGGTCATGATCTCAGGGTCATGAGTCTGAGCCCCACATAAGGCTCCACACTCTTGTAGACCCTGCTTGATTCTCTCTCTCTTCCTCTGCCCCTCCCCACCCCAAAATTAATTAATTAAAAGTAAGTAAAACATTAAAAATTAAAAAAAGAAAACCAAAAGGAAGAGGAAACACATTTACAACCTGTGTTGGGCAAGGGTCAGCTGTATCCATATTCACACAAAAGTAAATTTTGACTGTGGAGGAAGAGTTAAAAGCACTGACACTTTAGCGTCTGTCACCCAGCTTTACCGAGATATAACTGACATATAACACTGTGTTAATTTAAGGTATATAATGTATTGATGACATTTTGGTTTCTGACTCCAACCACATTCTAAGAAACTCTGATACAAGATATATATTGATATCAAATTAGCAACAAATAATGCTCACTTTACAGTTTTGTTTTTACCTAAGTAATCAAATGCTGGCCCAGTGTGGAAAACAAACTTACATTGCAATGATCAAAGACAACCATGCACTGAGGCTCCTTGCTGACAGGTGAGGAGGAGGAGGTATCAACTTCAGGTACAACAATTACTGGCTCCTGTTGATCCCAAAAGTTGTACTTGCAGAACACAAAGTGGGACAGATGCTGTGGCAACCCAGTGGCTTGGAGTATTTTAACCTGAAGGAAAGGGAAGGCTCTGTTTTTAACTCAGAAAAGGTACAAGTATCTTGAGTCAGATAATGGGTCCCAGTCTTGACTGTGTCACTACCGGTTTTTGTTGACCAAATCCCCTTCACTCTGGGGCTGTATTTCTTCATCTGGGAAATGGTGACAACAACTGTCATATTTAGTAAGAAGCTGACAGAGGGTAAAATGACCTTGACTATAAACTTGGATGTTTTCAAACATTTACAGGCCAATTCTAGTTTCTTATAACATCATCATCATCACATTATAATAATCAACTTAGAAAAGGGAAGTTCTCAACCATCAATACCAATCAATGATATGAATTTGGCTAACTATGGATATATCCCAAAAACATAAGACTGCTAAGAATGATGAATGAAGAATGAAATCAGCATATGTGGCAATAGGGAATATTCAGTAAAGAGCAAAAAACATTTATTTGATATTCTGAAGGCTAAAAAAGAACAAGATTCTAAGTAGAAAGTTATATGCTACTAGAGGATTTTTTGTTAAATTTTAAAGGCATCAGGATATACTTTGAAGTTCTGGAGGGATAAAGGGAAGGGGATTAAAGATGGTGAATGCTGACCATCTCTGTACCAATTCTTACGGAGGGCCTTCTCCATGCAGATTTAGGGGAGATGAATCAAAGGAAATGTGCCCTGGACTGCGGGAGTGTAAGGTTTTGTGATAACAACATACAATTAGAAATACATGTCTAATCAGACCCAAATGTGCCAGGAATAAATGCCCATAATGGATTTTAAAGCAGTCAAAAATTCTAAATATTTCTTTTGGCAGGCAGTGTCAGCTTGATTTTTAAGCTCCAATTTTTGTGGTAAGTTGTGACATTCCAAAACTCCCAACTATGAAGGAAACTAAATTCTAAAATTAATGAACCAAAACTAAATTCTGACTTTATATTTGATTATGGGCTGACTTTCATATGACTGGGCATTGATCTTTCTTATGTTCTTCACTTGATCACTTCCTGCACATTGCATAATATACTGTGCTTCCAGTAAATAAATTTATCAAAAAATAAAATTGAATATGTGACCAACGTTGATAACAGTTCAGCAAATACAATCACAAATACAACTGTCTTAACATTTCAGGAAGCATTAATAATAACACAGAATATCAGGCAAACCAGATGACTATTTCTTCTATACCAGGTACATAATGGGTAAGCAATGGTTGAGAACTCCTATTTTTACTCATTTTTCCCAACAATGGCAACAACAGTTTGAAACATTTAGACAGCAATTCCATAACAGGCTACAAAAAACCAGACTGACTAATGCATTTTATTCGTCTAAACCCAAAAGAGAATTCAGTGTTCGGCAATTAATTTTTTGTTCATTCTAAAAACCATCACTTTTTCATTAAGTGTTTAAAATTTTTTATTATATTCTTCAAGGTGAGACAACATGATATTTGATAAGACTACAAGATTTCAGGGTGCCTGGGTGGCTCAGTGGGGCGCCTGGGTGGCTCAGTGGGGCGCCTGGGTGGCTCAGTGCGTTAAGCCTCTGCCTTCAGATTGGGTCATGATCTCAGGATCGTGGTGGGATTGAGCCCCGCATCAGGCTCTCTGCTCAGGGGATCCTGCTTCCCTTCCTCTCTCTCTGCCTGCCTCTCTGCCTACTTGTGATCTCTGTCAAATAAATAAATAAAATCTTTAAAAAAAAATTACAAGATTTCTGTAGAACATAGATCTAAATAAAACTCTGCCATATATTAGTTTCTGTTTTTGAGCAGATTAAATTCTTAGTTTTCTTAGGCTGAGACTTCTCCTACGTGAAACAGGATAGCTACCTAATGATACTGGAGTGAGAACTGACCATACCAATGGAATAAAATGAATGAAAACACATCAAAGCACTGAGTGGACAGATGTTGGAAACATACTTCTTTATGATTAAATTCCATCTGAAAGCCAGTATTTTTTCTAAGAAATCAATCTCAATTTTAAGGTTGAAATAAATTACAAGATTTCATATGCTGATCTATATCCTAAAGGCAACTTATCAGGAATAAGATTGCCAGGAATGAAGAATATCAGGAATGAGAATATCCTGATATCCAGAACATAGTTTTTGTTTGTTTTTTTAAGTTTCTGCATACACAAATCAGAATCACCACAAGGTGTCAGAATACCACAGACTTTGACTTGCTACTGCTCATTATAAAGCTCAGGAATGTCAGAAGACATGCTGCTTAGGGTTTTAAAACATACTCATTTAATTTAATGTAATTTAAAATATCAACATGTTAATATGTGATACTTATTTTCATCATAGAAAAATAGAACCAGACTGCTTTTATAAGCTGGTGGTACTTATCACTTATTATTGTTACGTGTCCCAGACTGATTTTATTTTTTCCACTTATGTTTTGTTTATTGTCATACAGTCTGTCTTCCTTCTTCAACAAAAAAAGACTATTACATGCTTAGAATATGGTCTCTAAAAACCACTTCCCACTGAAAGGAACCAGGTTCCTGAGAGAGATGGCTGATTCCAGGCTGGGACAGGAAACGTCTAGGATGGGACTAGAATATTCCTCATACCAGAAAGCAAGAAAGCTAGCCTATATAGGCTATGACAGTTAGGGTTGTGTCAAAAGGACTCCAGAGGGGAGCCCACAGGTCAAAGATGGGATCATGTGAGCTTTGAGATAGGTAATAAATATACGGATCCAATCACATCAAATATGCTTACACCAAAGAGTTTATAACGATATTTGGACTAAAAACAAAATAAAATCTCACTAGTCACTTTTGTATATTAGTAGGAGACAATTATTTTGAAAATCATGTTTTTTTTTAAAAAGGAGAAAAGAATGGAGCATTTACCCTGCCCTTCCTCTATAAAATTATATCTCTGAGGTGCAAATAGTTGCTGAAATAAGATGACTCTTTCTAGAAAAGAATTCTAGTTAATGAATGAGGAGTGACAGGGTTATAGTATCATTCTTTTCTAACTTCTCATGAAATATCTAGGTATAATCATCAATGACTGCTAACATCCCTCAAAGGACACCAGACATAATGTGTCTTCTGATGGCAGAACACACCACTACCTATAAAATGTCCTTGCTACCCATTCCCCTTACAACACCTTCGTATCTAACTACCGATTTACATCAAACACATCTTAACACATTAAATAATACCAATCAGCCAAATCCAGATTATGAGAAAATACAAGACAACAACCCAGTATCTACAATAAATAAACTGTAGGGTAGGAGAGAAAGAGAGAGAATAAGAGAGAAGAAACAAGCAAGCACAAGTGTCAGCACCTAAAGATTAGGATAGATGCCAGAGACACAGCAAACAAGACAATCAAGGAACTTGACTTGCGTATCTCATATTAAGGAAGTATTCATTTTTAGTTATGATATAATGGTTTTTTTAAAGTACTCTTCTTTTAGAGATACATACTTAACTACTATAGATGAAATACCATGTCTGGAATAGCTTCAAAATCACCCAGGGCAAGGGGACAGCACAGAGAGGCTTAGGCAGATGAATGAAGTAAGACTGATGGTGAATTGATGCTGAGGGAGGTTGGGTGGGGGTCAGTAACACTTTTCTCACTACATTTGCACATGTTTGCTATCTTCCACTAAAACAGTGTCAAGATATTTTAACTTTGTTTTTTCTTAAAAAAAAAAAAAAAAAAAAAGCTGATGTTACCCAGGATATTCTACTTTTTTTCAGTGGTTACTTTCCCAAGTGAGACAGTATCCTTGTACTGATGTTAACTTTTACACAGCTGCATTTACTAATCTGTCACCTTTGAAATGGGCCATTATGGAGTCATCAAGCCTATGTCTCAACCTTCGGTAACCTTATAATTTCAGAAAAAATGTTCTAAAAACAAGAATAACACCATCAAAGATTAACCTTTTAGTGAACTAAGAATTCTCCCCCGCTTATTCTGAAGCATCTTAAACATCTGAGGCCTTCTTAATACATGCAAAGACCCATGGAAAGAAGGCCATCTCTAACAGCTAAGGCTTCCCCATGGCTTTCAGCGAATGCCTCCCTTTCTCCTTTCAGTATTAACTCCAATTCTAGAAATACTTAACTGAGATACAGTACTGGACCGAGGATGGATTATGAAATTAGAATTAAGTTTAGGCTTCTTTCACTGCATCTTTGAATGGTCTTCTTCTCACTTGTACACTATTCCTACAACCCTTGAGGATTTCTCTTCCTCAAAAATCTTTTAACTGGTTCCTCCAGTGATTTTTAACCAACGGCATGCTGGCCCAGCCAGGGTGTGTTTGGAAATGTATGAGGGGATATTTTTCAGTGTCATAACAAGTGACACAGGCAGCACTATCTACACCAATTGGGTAAGAGTTCAGGAATATAATTACCTACTTAATATCTACCTACCAATTATCCATGAGAAAAGCACAGCACCCTATGGAGAAAGAGTTTTACATAACATGCTCTCCTTCAAGTTCACTCTGAGTCATGTTTCCAGAAATTTTCCACAGACTTTACTCTCTTAATTAATTACCTCTCCTCTCTGTCCCCAAACATGTCTTGTCTACCTCTCTCAGAGCACCTGGGTCACACAATATTGGAGTCTTCTGTTCACTTGTGTGTCCCTCTACACACTCACAAAAAATACACAGGTTGTTCCTTAAGAGAAGAAATCCTGTATCATTCATCTTTATATTTCCAGTACGACGTCTGACAGATAACATGCAACAAATGGCATATCTGGGAAGGACGGAAAGAGCAGGGTTTGAGACTGGCACATGCTCGAATAGCATACGCAAAGGCACATGGATGAAGAGGAACAAAACACGTAAGGAAAAACAGTGTGAAGAATGATTACAATAGGAGCTTAGGAACAGGATCAGGGCTAGGATAAATCTTGAGCAACAGCAGCAGTCAAGAGGTCCAACAGGAGGAGGAAACTTACATGAAAAAAGTGTGCTTCTCTAGAGAGAAGTTCAGATAAACAGAAACCCATGTAACTTTGGAGCAGAATGGTCCAGAAGAGGTGACTTATCCAAGGCTTCACAGAGGAAGTGGAAGTACCTAGACAGTGGAAGTACCTAGCTAACTGGTAAATCAATATATATGATGAAATATGGTTTCTGGAATACCAATACGAAAGGTTTATTTAGAGACAGATATTTCAAAATTCGAAAAAGAACACAGTATTTGTCTAAATAGCCACAATCCTCAAAATCAGCTGCACTGACACTACTTCTAAATGAAACTGGGACTTACCATGCACACAAGTCTATTCTCCTGGGTTTCCTTATCACAGGAGAGGTCTGAGGTGTCATCACCTCCAGCAATTCTTTCCCCAATGTCACCACTGATTCGCATCACCTCGACATGCAGCCGACCTGCCACCTGAACAACAGAGAAGCAGGTAATGTTTCCAGATTTTGTTTTTGTTTCTGTTTAGAGTCAAATGGTTGAGAACTTAAAAGCCTAGGTTCTAACAGTTACTTTCCCTCAAAGTTTTTGGAATAATCACCATCAAGCAGATGGAAACACAAGTATTAATAATACACATAAAAAGCTCTTGTCATTATTAATGAAAAAGAGTCACAACAATATACTGTCACCACCCCGCTGTTTCTTAAATTTTTCTCTGAGGGACACAAGGCATGAAGAGAAAACGTACCTCTCCTTTCTGGTTGACAATTGGAACAGCATACTGTAACTTCACGTCATAGAAGAGGGACTCGAGGAAAACATTCGCCACCCCAATGAGACTGTGATTTTCCTGCTCATCATAGAATGGATCAGCACGCTTGAAGTAAGAACGTATGACCTTTAAAGAGATTTGGAACATCACAATTTCAGAAATTACTTAAAATGAATCAATTCAACCTACTACCACTTATTGATGGCCTCTCATAAAGTCATTAAATTTAGCTTAAGCACAACACTGGATTACACACACTTTCTCTTCCTCACTCCCATTAGAACGGTGGTCAGCCTCTTTCACCCATGACAGCCATCTTAATAATATATCATGACGTTTCTCTTCTCCTTTATGTGGAAATTTTGCCATGAAAATAGGGAAAACCAACTGACTAGAAAAAGGAGTTGAGTGCACAAAAGTACTCTTTAGTTTTCATTCATGTTTATTGCACTCGTTCCTGCCAAATGATAAGATGCAGGGCTACTAACGAGAGCTGACCCCCTTCCACGAGAGCGGTTTGCTTTTTTGTAATTTGTTGATGTTTTATTTCTGGGCTGAAATACAAGAGGAGTACAGAAGAAAGAAGGAAAAAAATTTAAGAAAAAATGTCATCTAAATACAAAAAGTCAATCTTATTGATGATAATCTGGAACAAATAAATTTTTTTAAAAAACAAGAGGCTAAAAAATAAAAATAAAAAATAAGAGGCTAAGTAAACAACTCTATATGGAAGCAACACCAGCAGATTTTAAAAAACTGTAAAAATATACATAACATGTATTTCTGTTTTAAAATATGCACAAGTACATGGCTGACCTAAATGGAAAACCTGCAACTTGAGGGTAAAGTTCCAGAGTACAGCTCTATAGCACCCACTGTAGGATCAAAACTCCTTCCATATGTGCTCTTAGTAGTATAAATATTAAGATACCACTGATGTTCTATTAAAAAAAGAGATACTGCAGATTTCTATTTGTGAGGTTAAATGTGTAGGGAAATGGGAAGAGAGATAATAAGGCCTGGTCTTTGTCCTAAGTAAATTCACAGTTCAGTACAGAAGCAGACACATGTGACACCAACAGAGGTCAGAATGGAATGTAGAAGAGTCTACTAGAAATCCAGAGAACACAAAAGAGAAGAAGAAAGAAGATGCAGAAAAATAGGTTATTAAGATTCCTGATTAGCCAAACAATTTAGAGGATTAAAATTATTCTAGAAATAGGATTACTATTTTAGCAGAATGAACAATTCTTCCCTAAAAATAGGTAAGCTCCTTCCTGCTTGGTTTCTTCTATGATGACCAGTTTGGTCATTTTTCTCAGATAACTTACCGGGGTATCTTCTTCGCACTCCTTCCACTCCTGATAAAGGTCTCTCATATCCAGCAACCTATTGTCCAGTTTTTCTAAAGACCAAATCTGTTTTCCTTTTCCTTTTCTTCTCACCTGGATTGCAGGTTCACTAAGAAGAGAGCCTCGCTATAAAACAGTAAGAGTGACTATGTGAAACACAAAGATATCCACCATGGAAGCCAACTCTGAACATTCTATAGCCACCAGTCAAATGCCACCAACCAAAACGGAATTGCTATCCTTCTCTATTCAGTTCACCGCAAAACTTCTCAGGAACCTTTTAAGCTTAATATAATGCCATTATATTCAGCTGTGATCAAAATTTGAATTTAAGTATATAAATTAGATGTGATTTAAAAAGTAAATTTATATAGTAAATTATTCATATAGGTTATTCCTATAGTAAATGGGATATAAATTTAAATTTAAAACCCAAAAGATTAAATCATGTTTAATGGGAAATCAAAAAGGTTTTATTCAAGCCATCATCTGACCAGAGAGTATCTATGGGTAGAAAAAGAGTCATAAGCACTGAATGACAGGGGAAAAGTCTGCTGGGATGGACAGCTAGGAAATGATCTTTTACCCTTCAATAGTTTGAATTTAAAAAATTTTTTGAATGGGTAGTATCTTAATGTGGTTCAAAACAGAAAATGTTTAAAAGAGCAAACTGTAAATGGTAAATGGAGGCAACAAATTATATCAATCTGTAAACACACACAGTTTAGATACAAAATTAAAAAAACAGTATGGGTTGCCTGGGCATCTCAGTTGGTTAAGCAGCTGCTTCGGCTCAGGTCATTATCCCAAAGTCCTGGGATTGAGTCCTGCATCGGGCTCCCTGCTCAGCAGGTAGCCTGCTTCTCACTGTTCCTGTCCATCTCACTATCTCTGTCTTGCTCTCTCCAATAAATAAAAACAGTATGAACTAAAGATGCTGGTCACACAACACTGTGAATGGACAAAATGCCACTGAATGGTTCACTTTATCTTTTTCTTTTTTTTCTAAAGAGAGAAGGAGGGAGGGGCAGACAGAGAGAGAGAATCTTAAGCAGGCTCCATGCTCAGTGCCCAGCACAGAGTGGGGCTCAATCTCACAACCCTGAAATCTTGACCAAAATCAAGAGTTGGACTCTTAACCAACTGAGCCACCCAGGTACCCCTGAACTATTCACTTTAAAATGGTTAATTTTATGTTACGTGAATTTCCCCAGAAAAAAACCTAGAATTTAATGAAGTTTTTCCAGCTTGTAAAAGCAAGGTGCGTTTTTTGGGGTTTTTTTGGGTTTTTTTAAGATTTTATTTATTTTAGAGAGAGAGAGAGAGAACACAAGTGGGAGGGTCAGAGGAAGAGGGGCAGAAAAAAATCTCAAGCAGACTCCACACTGAGCTCAGGGCCTTACATGAGGCTTGAACTCAGGACCCTGAGATCATGATCTGAGCTGAAACCAAGAGTTGGATGCCCAACCGACTGTGCCATCCAGGTACCCCAAAGCAATGTGTTTTTATTTATTTATTTTTTTAAAGATTTTATTTATTTATCTGACAGATAGAGATCACAAGTAGGCAGAGAGGCAGGCAGAGAGAGAGAGGAGGAGGCAGGTTCCCTGCTGAGCAGAGAGCCCGATGTGGGGCTCGATCCCAGGACACTGGGACCTTGACCTGAGCCGAAGGCAGAGGCTTTAACCCACTGAGCCACCCAGGCGCCCCAAAGCAATGTGTTTTTAATATGAAAACAGTTTTTAAACTTTTTAAAACCACAAGAAGAAAATAAAAATACCCCATGTGTAGAGACATATCTATCAGTTATCTAATCAGTTTAGATTTATTGGATAATTATCAACTATTTGGATCGATCTACTCAGAATTTCAAGGAACTGTGAAATACACCAACGCTGCTTTACCATCTTGCCTATAATCATTTTCAAAGAAAGAAAATGCACATAATGAAACAAAGATTCTGAAATCTGAAGCTCAAAAATTGCCATTCTCTCTACTCTAAAGGCCCTTCTACCTTCTACACAGCCTACTAGGGAATAAATACAAAAAGCTCATCAGGGATCCACACGGAGTGGTCCTGCAGGTGGAGAATACTAGAACAGGGAGGAAACGGCAGCCAGTGATATCCTGCAGCATCAAGACTTGGCCTTCCAGCAACTACAACAAGAACTGGAAAAAAGTAAAAAAAGAAATTTCTGTCTCTTACCAAAATCACGAGAGAGAGAGAGAGAGAGAGAGAGAAAGTGAGAGAGAGAAAAAGGAGTACAAAGCCAGGAGTTAGACCAGAACAAACAACAGAGTTCACAGCAGGGGCAAGACAGGAACTGAAATGAACTTTTCTGGTCCAAAAACAAAAGGTTGTCTTGGATAAATGAGGAAAGATCCAGCCTGAGTTAAAAAAGACTCTCTCCTTAAGAAATACTTCCTTGTCCAGCTCCTCTCTCTGGGTGAAATCGGAAAATACTAATCTATTAAATCAATAATAGCGTAGATTAGTAGCCATTAACATGTTAACAATGGCTGCCTTGATTCCAGCGATAGGCATCATCTCTAACAGCCATGCAAACAGTCCCGTGAACACACTGTCAGGTGTCTAGGAGAGACAGAGAAGCCCAAAACGACTTGTGTCACTTCTAGGTAACTGACTTGGCTGCCCAGAAGCTAGCAAGGTTGCACTTGCCAACAAAGCCTGAGCCAGGATACGCAGAAAAGGGCTACAGACAGTCATGCTTCAAGGGGATAAAACGGTTATGTTTCTATTTTTCCAACTCAGACACTACAGAATGGAAGAGACCTTGCTCTGCTCAGTCTTCTAGAAAACTAAGCCATATACCTTCTGCCTATGACTGGCTTTCCTCTACCGCTTTTTGTCTGATTCCCACTGTACCCATGGTGTGCCCTACAAACACCAATAAGCAACATAAAGTTCTAAGTTCAAATCACACACAGAACATGTGTCAAAAGGCAAGTTTCCATAAAGTAATGAGTGCATCACGTTTACGGTAACTGTATTACTCAAAACATTAAGCAACCTATTTGCCAAATATCTACTCTATGAAAACACTGACCCTGAGGCTGTGATGCCACAAGAAAAAGATAGTGGTCCTTGCTACCAAATCAGAATAGAAAACCCAAACATTCATTAAAGCTTTGCTGTATCAAATACTGTGGGAGAAACAAAATATTTATCTGAATATAAAATTTATTTGCTCAAAATATTTTTATTTATCCCTCAAAATATTTATCTGAATATAAAATTCTATATCCCATCAAAATTATGTATGAATATGATTGAGAGTTAGAAAAGGGCCTAAATAACAAAAACAACTGGATGGGAAAGATAGAAAATTTTGATGGGGCTTTCCCCCTACATTTTATTAAGGTGATTACATTATACCAAGAGAAAAAAAAAAGATTTGTGATCGTGAATACACACAAGAAACAACTACTAAACAGTTTTGCAGAACAATCTATTAGCAACTGAAAATGACATGTAAATATCAACTAAACAGGGAACTTAAAGGAGAAGGGTTGTAGGATGGCACAGGAATGAAGGGGAAACCCCACTTTCTGAAGACTCATCAGGAAAGACTTCCCAGAAATCACAGAAACAGAGTGATGAAAGGGAGCTGAATGGAATAAATTGGTGGGGTGTGGTGGGAGGAGGTGGAGAGGATATTCTAGTGGACAAAGGACACATACGCACAAAGGCAAAGAATTAAAAGCAAATGAATTCTACTTGAGGAGAACAAGTACAAAAGGATGCAAACTGCAGAAAGGGTAGGTGGGGATGAGGACACACCCACTGGTATTTAATACTGGTGAAACAGACAGCAGTTTTCTCCAGTGGTTGTGTCTGTCTCTTCCATTACCGGCAACCTCACCTTCCTGTTGGCATCCAGGCTGGAGGCTGGAATCTGCAGGGTCACTTTATACTCTGTTCTTTTATCCAGCTCCTCTGCAATGTAACTAGCTTCTCTCACCAACAGATTGGCTTTCACAATTTGTTCCCTCAGCCTCATCAGGCTGTTATTCAGCGTTGCTTCTCTTTAAAAAAAAAAAAAAAGGGTGGGGGAAGGAGGAGATAACCATCAAGCAGCACATGGGAATATCATGTAGTACACAATATGTTAATGCCAAACTGCGACCCAAGCTTTACAAGTGCCTTGTGCACACAGGGAATATATGAATGACACCGATCCATGCACGCACTTGTATCTGGGCTACGCTGTAAGTACCGGCACACGCTCAAGTAACAAGCTGGCCGCTGATTAGGACAGTGCTTCGAAACTTGACTGTGTATACAAATCACCCAAGGATCTTGAAAACCGAAACAGCTTGACTCAGTAGGTCTGGGGTGGGGCCTGACAGGCTACACTTCCATCAGTCTCCACCTGACAGGGATGCTGCCTGTCTGCAGACCAAACTTTGAATAGCAAGAGGTTAGTTAAGTACAGTCTGTAACCATGGATAAGAAATTTTAGTGCAACGCTAATTAGCCCGTATAGAGTTCAAGCTTGCAATCTGCATCTCATTAGCACCATGCTTTACCCACCTGAGCTAATCAGTCCAGATAACCACCTCTTTTTTTTTTCCTTTTTTTTAAAAAGCATCTACCCAAGCTTCACAACCTAAAGTATGATACAATGATAAAGTATAACTTCTAAGTACAAATACTTATTTTTTCAAATCCAAAAGCCATACAAACTAAAATGGGGCAGCACCGAACATGGACAACTTTAAATAAATCAATATAAATGGATGATTCCTGTTTTTTCTCTCAAAAATGAAAAAAAAAAAAGATCATACAAATGGTTCTGAAGGTGTTAACAGTCTCTCGTAATATAATTCTGTAATTCTTTATCAAATAATGTCTAGATTTCTCCACACCATCTTATGTAGGTGAGTTAAAGGGTTGAGCCTATGCTATGCACGCGTACGAAAGGCCCCAGGAGCCTACCTCTCTTCCGCCCACTGTCTCAATCGCTGCTGAGCACTGGGTGAGTGGAAAGAAAACCGGTCCCCACTACGACAGTTCTGTTTCTCAGGAGACAGCCTTCGTCGTAGCTGCTCCAATTCATGTTCATACATAAGCCTCTGGCGCTCCAACGCGGATCGTTTTTCTTCTTCATGCTGTTGTTCTAGGCTGTTCAATATGGACTGCATTGGATCTAAACAAGGTTTTTTTTTTTAAAAAAGGTAGATAATCAAAGAAAGGTCACAGTACAACAGAATAGATTTCCCATGTGGTTCTATATTGCTATGCTGTTTGTCATCCTAACTAGTAAATGAAGATTCTTTTTTTTTTTTTAAGATTTTATTTATTTATTTGACAGACGGAGATCACAAGGAGGCAGAGAGGCAGGCAGAGAGAGGGAGGAAGAAGCAGGCCCCCTGCTGAGCAGAGAGCCCAATGTGGGGCTCGATCCCAGGACCCTGAGATCATGACCTGGGCTGAAGGCAGAGGCTTAACCCACTGAGCCACCCAGGCGCCCCTAAATGAAGATTCTTGAAGATAGTTTGGACAAAACTTGGTTGTCCTTAGTTCCCGCTACTCATATCATCTCTTCTGTCAGATACATGCCAAACTGTCTTCCACACAGGAAAAGCAGGTTTACTGTATGTTCTACATGTAAGCTGAGAGTGACAGTGGCAGTCAAATTTCAAACCTGAGAAATTCTATCAATGAGAACAAAGTGTGCAGCAATTTGTACTCAAGGCTGAAAGAATGAAAGGTTTTTATAAGTGTAATAAATTAAAAAAGAGAATAACATAAAGATTTCCTTTTTTGTTAACATTTAAAAGGCCTCAGTCACAAACATTTTTAACTTTTCATCGACTTTAGAAAGATTCTAAAACGCACAGCAGATCTGCTCACCATTATTCCCCAGAGCCTTCATGGTAACCTCCATTTGCGCATATTCATAATTGAAGTTGATTTCACTGGACACCTCACTGGAGGAGTCTCCATCTATATCCAGCTGCTCAGAACTGGTATCATTCTTCATGGACGTGTCGTGTTCCTCATCCTCTCGATCTGCTTTCTTTTTCTTTTTAGGCAAATTCAGTCTTGTGGGTGGGGGGAGAGAATATTATTTTAAAAATAAAGATACGCACTTATTCCATCCATTAAACACTGGCATTTGCTAGATGCCAAGGGGGTACCATCTAAGTATAAGGCAATTACTATACTCAGGAATTTTATCTTCTGGTAGTAGAAATAAACACACACTCATGCACAAATAATTACAACAGACCATATGACTTGGGGCCACATGACTGTGACAGGCTAGGTATTGAAGAAAAGCTGAGGACCACTAGAATAACAACAGAAAAGATGACACAGTAGGAAGTCATTTGAGCCAAGCTTTTTTTTTTTTTTAAAGATTTTATTTATTTATTTGACAGACAGAGATCACAAGTAGACAGAGAGGCAGGCAGAGAGAGAAGGGGGAAAGCAGGCTCCCTGTGAGCGGAGAGGCCGACGCGGGACTCGATCCCAGGATCCTGGGATCATGACCTGAGCCGAAAGCAGAGGCTTAACCCACAGAGCCACCCAGGCGCCCCTGAGCCAAGCTTTAAAAGTAGGAACAGCATGAGAAGAGATGTGGAAATGGAAACTCTCACAGTCTCTGGAGAAATTATGAATGAAAAAACACAGAGGCACACAAAATTTGCATAGCAGAAGTTATGGGAGTTAATGCTGGAAAGATCAACGTATCTCAAACTTGGAAGGCTTTGAAAACCAATCCAAGTAGTTTACACCTGATTTAGTTTGGGAAGGAGAAAAATGAAAAATATTTTCCAGATACTCTGTGGAAAATTCTTTTTCCAGTAATCAAAATATCAACTGGCCTACAAGCAAAGGATCTCCATTAACTATAAGAAAAGTCAGTCTGATGTCCCAAGCATGGTGACCAGTGACAGGAAGAGGAACAAACCAGGTCTGTGGTTCTGTACAACCTCAGCCTGCCCTTCCCTAGCAACCCAACACCAGTTTTCTAGGGAAAACAATGTGTGCAGTCCTCAGCACTGCCACTTTCTCAGCCTCCCTTGTAGTTAAGGGGCAAATTCTACCAAACAAGACAAAAATAGAAGGTTGCTGGGGGCTCTGGGAAGACTTCTTTTTCTGATCAAGCAGATAGGGCTTAAGTACCACCACCCTTCTCCCTCATTTTCTTCAAATGTGCCTGGATGCTGCTTTGATATCTAGAGTGGTGTAGCCGTCTTTAGACCACAGGGACATGCTAAGACAAAGAGACAGTGACAAGCCTTCTGCTGTGACAGTTTTGAGAGGCTTAGCCAATGCCAACAACCATCCACCTTTGGATTTCTTATTTGGTCAGTGAAACAAACTGTTTAAGCCATTGTAGTCAAGTCTGCCATTACCTGCAGCCGAAAACATTCCTAAATGAAATACAAACTTTATTTTATGACTACGGGAACTACAACTACTCTTTTCCAATAAAACATAAACAAATAAAAAGATAAGCATGTCAGAAAAAAAAAAAAAATAATGAATTCTTACACCAGATGGCAAAACAATCATCTTGCACTGGGAAATAAAATGGGAAAAAAAAAAAAGTAAACTCCTTATTTTTTCTGAGGGTATTTTTTTTTAAAAGATTTTTATTTATTTATTTGTCAGAGAAAGAGAGAGAGATTGAGCGAGCGAGCACAAGCGCACAAGCAGGCAGAGGCAGAGAGAAGCAGGCTCCCCGCCAAGCAAGGAGCCCAATGCGGGACTTGATCCCAGAACCCTGGGACCATGACCTGAGCCGAAGGCAGTAGCTCAACAGACTGAGCCACCCAGGCGTCCCTCTGAGGGTATTGTTTATATGTCTCTCAGGTTCAAAGCATATAGTAAACAAACCATTAACAGTCAGTAAATATATATGTACAAAACAACGTATACTTTTTATGGAGTTAAGTTTACCTTAACATTCTTACCATACATTCTTCTGTTTCAGAGTATAATCTTAATAATCTCTCTTTAAGAGCCATGAATAATGTCATACCTGAAGAAGTGGTTGTTTCCCCAGAGAATCCTGTCCCCATGGTGGAGTTGTATAGGACTAGATACAGAAGAGCCATTTACAAATGTTCTGAGGGGAGAAGAGGTTAAACAAGCAAACAATGATTATCTTATTTTCTCCTTTAGTTACCCAATACTATAGAGATCTAGTTACTAGGGAAAAAGAAATAATCAATTCCCCAAAATAATCAATTCTCCTGCCCTCAGTGAATTTTACTATTTGTATTTACTTCTCTGCTGAGAAATGCTTACAGTACTAAGTATAATAAATTACTATCCTCTATTTTTCACAATTCCGAATTTGTTATACAGCATATTAAGGAGTAAATATGGAGCCATTATAGTCAACAGGAAAAAGCTGGAAGCAGTGTACATTACAACTCAAATGAGTATGTCCAATCTACATGAATAATAAGAGCCAAGCAACCAACTAGACTCTAGAAATAGAAAAAATGAGACCTGTGCTAAATTCTTCTCTAACTTCCTAGAGCACAGAAAAACATTCATATCCTATCAATATATAAAAGATTTATAGGGTCCACTTGACTGCTTATCTTTTTAAGATTTTATTTATTTGACAGAGAGATAGATAACAAGTAGGCAGAGAGGCAGACAGAAAAAGAGGAGGAAGCAGGTTCCCCGCTGAGCAGAGACCCTGATGTGGGGCTCGATCCCAGGACCCTGAGATCAATGACCTGAGCTGAAGGGAGAGACTTAACCCACGGAGCCACTCAGGCACCCCACTGACTACTTACCTTGACAATGGAGTTCAACAGAGGGGTGGATAGAAGGATATAAAGGGCAAAATTTGCAGGTGCAGGAAAAAAACAAAACTTACGCATACCATTTTAAGACTGATGTTCCTGGAATACCAGTTTCATCAAGCCTCTCTCCTCCTGAAGGACTAATTTGCTTAGATACGGGATAAAGGACTAATTTGCTTAGATACGGGATAAAGGTCAAGTTCTTTATCTTGACCCTTAAGGCCCTACAAAAGGAAGCCCTGTTTATCTCTCTCTTTCTCTTCCCCCTCTAGCAAATTCTCAACTCCAGCCAAAAAAAAAAAAAAAAAACGTTTAGGTGCTGTCCACTAAACATGATTAATTTAATTGACTCCTCTTTCAAAACCAGGTTTACCAGTCCTGCAACCTAGAACAGCATTCCCATTCCTCCCCATCCCCCTACCAAGTTCTACTCAGCTTTCAAAGCCCAGCTGGTTTCCGCTTCCTCTATAAAAGCTGCTCATCACTCCAGCCTATGGTGTTAGTTTCTGTACTGTCCTAAAGCACTTAACTGGCTTTATATTGCTAGTTACTTTTTATATATATGCATATACATAAAATCCTACTCTGGCTATCTGGATTTCACTTACCATGTAGGTTTTTAAACACTATAAGTAATTGGTCCTCCTATAGTCTGATTATTCAAAGCATGAACTCAAAAATTGTAACAAGAGGGAACCTACTAAAATTAGCAGATTTCAGCTTTTATGACACAATTCCTTAAATATAATGAGGAGTTCAATTAAAGGGAAACATATAGAGGCTAATTTTTAAAAGCTACAGCCATTAAGCCATAATTAATAAATAAAAGCATGGTTATAAGAGTTTTCAAGCCATTGTGGGGTCCTGTGGGGTCCTCAAGATCAAAGCTATTTTTATAATAATGCTAACCTGCCCTTTTCACCGTGTTGACATTTATACCGGCAATGAGTAAAACTGCTGTTTTAGCACAAACCAAGGCAATGGCACCAAATATGACTAGTAGTCACTGAACCACTCATGCCATGCACTCAGAATTGTTGAAAAAGCTTTCCTTTGAGGATGTTCTTGATGAAGCAATAAAAATTATTACTTTTTAAAAACCCTGACCCTTCACAACTTTTTAAACATTTCAGGTTGACAAAACGAGAAGTACATAAAAAAGCACTGACACCAGAGTATGACTACTGTCCTGAGCAAAAGACATATATAAAGTCGTATCTAGGGCAGCCATTTTCCTGCAAATGGACAAAGCGAGGAAATGCCAGCTGTGAATTTCAAGTGAGAATTGGAAGTTTGGAAACTTGTGTCAATGTCCTCCACTCAAAGACCACTAGGAGCATTCCTGTAGCTGAACAAGCTGGGCTCATTATTCATGCACAGGAGAAGACACAGTCGCAGGAAGCATGGGATGTCTCAGTACCAGTGTGCTCAGAAGGACTGTTGCAGGATTTGGGCTTTAGCCAGACAAGCTGGCAAAGGGTCTGAGAGAGGGGGGCTCTGTACATGTTGGATGTGTTCAGAAGGCAAGAGTACTTTTAGGATTGGGCATTCTAAAAAAATCTGATTTATAGAGGGTAGACTAGAATGAAGATTATAATAAAGTTGTGACCAGTAAAGAAGTAATCACTCACCTCAGCCAAGACAAAGTATTTGGTATTTGGTGTGTGACAGAGTGACCTTGGTTTTCGTCTGTGCTGAAACAAAATTATTATGTGGCCTGCTTTGTCATATTTTATCACAGCTTCAGAGTAACCTTGCCTGAGGTTGTTATTCTGTAAGACTACTTAATAAGAGAATAGCATGCCCAGGCTGAGAGTACCGGGCCTAGCTTCTGCTGTTCTTTCCTCTTCCTCATTTGTATCCTTCACCGTGAGCTGGATAGCTTCCCAATATTTAAAGACTTTTTGGATAAGTTAGTAATAATATTTTTTGAAGATTTATTTATTTTAAAAAATTTTATTTATTTGAAAGAGAGAAAGAGAGCAAGTGTACTCAGTGGGGGAAGGGAGAGAGAATCTGAAGCAGACGCCATGCAGAGCCCGATACAGGGCTCCCATGACTGTGAGCTCATGACCAGAGCCGAAACCGACAGTTGGACCTTAACCGACCGAACGACCCAGGCGCCCCATGACTTATTTATTTTTAGAAAGAGAAATAGAGAAAGAGCACACGTAGAGGAGTAGGGGGAAGGGCAGAGGGAAAGGAAAAGAAAGAATCTCCAGCACAGTGCCCACTGAGTGTGGGGCCCAACTTGGGGCTCAGTCTCACAACCCTGAGATCATGACCTGAGACCATGACCTGAGTTGAAACGAAGAGTCGGATGCTCAACCAACTGTACCACTCAGGCACCCCAAAATTAGTAATGATGTTAATGATTATTCAGTATCATATAATGAAATGAATCAACATTTGAAGAATCACTCTAAGTCAATTAACAGTTGTAGACCATTATATAACAGGGCAATAACAGCTTCACAGCTCAAGGAAGCAAAGTGAGAAACATTTAATTTACATAATATTATATCTCTTCATTCATTCATTACTTATTGAGTGCTTATATACTATATTATAATACATATATTATAATATATACTTATATTCTATTACATACTAAGGAGAGAGAACCAAAAAAGAAAGGCCCCTGTCCTCAATGAGCTCACAGTCTACTGGGATAATAAAGGTTAACAGCCCACAAGAACACAGTGTGATGGCTAAGTTGGTTAAGTATCTGACTCTTGATTCCAGCTCAGGTCTTGATCTCAGGGTCATGAAGTTAAGGGTCATGAAGTTAAGCCCCACATTAGGGTCCACACTGGACATGGAGACTACTTAAAAAATAAAGTTTTTTAGAAAAAGAATACAATATTAAGTCTTAACATAAGAGGAAGCATAAGGTGTACAGGGAATATATACTAGGGGCCCTTCATGTAGACCAAACAGGGAATTCCTCCAAAGTTGACAATGGCAGAGCTTAGTCTTGAAGGTCAAATACAAGTCAGTTGCCCAAAAGAACAACAGACACAGAGGAATAGGAGACAAATAGGAGGGATGTAAGGAATTTTATATAAAAAATAGTAGAAAGCTTGGGGTGGCTCAGTTGGTTAAGTGTCTGCCTTTGGCTTGGGTCATGATCCTGGGGTCATGAGATCGAGCCCCACATCAGGCTCCCTGCTTAGTGAGGAGCCTGCTTCTCCCTCGCTCACCTTCCTGCTGCTCCCCCTACTTGCTCTCTCTCTGTGACAAATAAATAAGTAAAATCTTCAAAAAAAATTAGTCAAAAGCCATCTGGCTGTATGGTAAGTGACCCAGGAAAAAGATTAGAGTGTTGGCATAGTTCCAATCAAGATTTGATGAGGGTCTTATTTAAACAAGGCCACAGTAGTGAGTATAGAGAGGAGAGATGGGTTTAAGGGCTATTAAAAAGTTCAATGTAAAGGTCTTGGTAACTAACTGGATAGCTTATTAAGTGAACTTAAAAGCAAAGGCCAAACATGCTTATAACACCCACAACTAGTGTACTTTGTTCCTCTTAAAAATTATTGTGACATTGACACTAATTAAAGTACATTACCTGGTATTCTTCTGAGGAGTCAGCATGACCTGGCCTTCTGCTGTGATGTCTATAATACAATGTTCAGGAAGAATTCCCATGCCACATAGCTGGATATCTTGGGAATTTGCTGAGCCTATCAATGTGTGTTCCTAGAAAAGAATCAAACTCACTGATTAATACTGTATTCTTACATGTATAAAAACTGAAATCATCTCCTCTGAGCCCTCTTACGTTGATCCATTACATTAGCAAAAAGGTTCTTTGAAGCAAATGGAATGGGGTAGGGGGAATTTCTGGCTTTCTCTGAAATATATTCTATAAGGTATATTTCCTTATAAGGAATAATGCACTAAGTTGAGTTATACCTTTCAAAACTAAAACTATAGTTTCATATTAATGTCTATATTACATTATTTTCCATTGTGATCTTGATCTCAAATTTATACTACTCTCAGAGCATGAGGCATGAGTCAATAATGCACCAAAAATACTGGTCTGAAAACTACAGTTACTTAAGTTGTACATCACTAACCTGGCCTCAATCAAGATGATCAACTACAAAGATAAAAAGCTATTCAAATCTAAGGAGTTTGAAAAGATTAAAATTACTTTATGAATCCCATGGTCTCCCTAATCCTCAAAGAAGATATGATGGCTGTGTTGTTCCTACTGTAGAGCCACAATTACTCAATTCTTGAAGCCCCAGTCACCAGCCTTGCTGTTTTGGCTGGCAACTGAGAAACCGATATAAAAATCAAGCTCCCTCTTACGCACTTCAACACTTAAGGACTGTACATACTTAAACACTGATAACACTGGGATGTGTCCCTAAGCCACCTTCTCCTTTCATACACCTAGATCTACAGTCAGACACAAAATATGCTAGGCTTTGCAAGCCATATGCAACCACTCAACTCTGTCTAGTAGTGTGAAGATGGTCAGACAACACACAAATAACAAGTACGGCTACTTTCCAGTAAAACTTTATTTATGAACACTGAAATCTGAACTGCATATAATTTTCACGTGTCTGAAATACTGTGATTCTTGTAATTTTTTTTTAACCATTTAAAAAATGTAAAAACCATTCTTAGCTCCCAGGCCACAGAGAAGCAGGCAGGGAACTAGATCTGGTCGTTGGAAGGCTGACCTCTGATCATGATGACTTTATCCAGTTGCATGGGTATTAAATACTGTTGAAACAGGGAAACTAAAAGGACCCCAATGAAAAACTGCTATTTTTGCTCCTTTCCTGCCTCTACTCTTGCAAGGGCCTACAACCCCCCGCCCACATACACATACTTATAGAACAAATAATGTATGTTCTCCTTGTAAAGGTCAAGGAGTTAATGATTTCTTTGGAGTTTTCCAGCACAATAAATACCATCTAAGGAGCGACCAAGACCAATGACTCACCAAGATCTCTGGCTCCAGGGCATAAGTGGCTTACTATGGAGGACACCTAAACACTCCTCTCTGTTACTGGATGCCTGATAAGACACAATCCTCAATAAAAACCCCAGGCCCCAAGCAAAGAGGACATTCTCCTTTGCGTTCTGAGTTTCACAGGTGCTTTGTCCGTATCTTGCACTCTCTCTAGGTCTTTGGTAAACTCCACTCTCTTCCTCTTGGCTTCCATTTGATTTCTGTCCTGCGTGAAGGCAAGGACCTTCTTGGCTGGTCCTGCACGACCCCCTCTGGGTCCTCAGACCCCTCTTGAAGGCTACAGTCTTTAAATAAATTAAATCACCAGCCAGAAGCTAGACTTCAGTTCCATTATTTTCCTGCCTCTATTATCACTATTCTAGTCTCACTATTATTTCTTGCCTACTTGGATGCTTAAAGACATTTTTTTAAGGTTTTATTTTTATTTATGTGTATGTATGTATGTATGCATGTATTAACTTATCTATGTATGTAAGTAAGCCAGTCACGCACTCCCAAGCTGAGGGAGGAGTAGACGGGGGCAGAGGGGAAAAGAATTTCAGGCAGATTCTCCCCTGAGCCCGGAGCCTGAGGAGCCTGATCACGACCTGAGCCAAAACCAAGGGTCAGAAACCAAGGATCAGACTCTTAATCGACTGAGTCACCCAGCTGCCCTGCTTAAAGCCATTTCAAAGCATCTAAATGTCATTCTAAATGACATCTGAGTGTCTAGAGACATTTCAAAGTGAAAAGCCCGAAGCAGAACTTTTGCTCCCCCAACCCCACCCAATGAATCTAGTCCCTTCCCCGACAGTGGTTACTGCCACCACCCAGTTAGTCCGCTAAAAAGCTTTGATGCTACAGAGTCCTTTCCTTCCCTTACCAGCCTACCCCCGGGCCCAAGTCAATATGAACATCCCTATAGACTGTCCCTCCAAAACATATCTAGAATCAGCTTATCTCCCCCCATCTACCCTGCTCTACTGCAGGGGTACACCTCCTGCTATTTCCTCCACTTCTAATCCTAAACCCCCCCAACCCCATCCACTACCAGCACACAGGCAGATCATGTGATCTCCCTATTTAAAGCCCTCTAATGGTTTCCATGAAGTCCAAATTCTTATCCAGGCTTACAAAAAACACTCAGAGGTACTCCTGGGTGGTTCTGTTGGTTGGGCGACTATCTTCAGCTCAGGTCATGGTCCCAGAGACCCCGGATCGAGTCCTGTATCAGGCTCCTATCTCCATGGGGAGTCTGCTTCTCCCTCTGACCTTCTCCCCTCTCATGCTCTCTCTCTCTCTCTCAAATAAAATCTTGAAGGAAAAAAAAAAGAAAACACCCAGAGATGTGGCCCTGCCTATCTCTCCTATTCTAGCTCCTGCCACTCCCCCTTCTTTTGGAGCAAGATAAGGCCACCGTAGCCTTTTATCAGTCCTTTGAGCACACAGGCAGTTTCCTTGGTCTGAAATGTTTCCCCCTGACCTTGATATTGGTAGTTTCTTATCGCTTCTATCTCACCTTTAAAGGGCACATTCTCAGAGAGATATATCCCGAACTGATAATCAGAAATAACCACCCCATTACTCTCCTATTTCAATTCCTTACTTAGCACTGACTGTTGGGGCTTAGTACCTACCTACGCCGCTAGCTTGGAAAAAAGCAGAGAACAGTTTGACCCACTCCCCACTGTAATCCAATCACTTAACATAAGTGTGGCACAATTAGGCATTAGATAAATTCAAAAGAAAAATAAATGAACAATCACTTCCTTCAGACTCAAAGGAAGACTATTCTCTCTCTCCTTTGCTGGTAACTCTTCTAATTATGTTGTGGGTCCCAGTGCTTCCCATCTCTTCTGGGACCTCAATCTCATAAAAAGGGCCCCTCCCCACTAGTATTTTCATTTCCCCTCTTCTAGGGGTTTCTTCACTCAACTATACTGCAGTGGTGTTTCTAAGGCAACATGGAGCTGGGATCGAGCTGTCCCATGGTATCCTATCCAATCCCCAAGGAGTGTACATAATATAGAGGACATGCCACATAAACCTTTACTCCCCACTACTGGGTGAGGCTTCCCAGCCAATCCCCAGACTTTTCTAATCTGGAGAACAAGACTTACTGTGTAGAAACTATAAGTAATGCTTTATGATGTTCAGTAGCAGGCCTGAGGAATCTATCTCATGCCTGTCTCCATTCCCCACTTTGGTTCTTCCCACCCTGTCTTTACAAAACCAATCCCATGGTGAGAGAAGTTCCAAAAGGAGGGAAAAAGTATCTGGCTGGCTTGCTGGAGGAGCACGTGACTCTGTATCTAAGGGTTTTGAGTTCAAGCCCACATTGGGTATAGAGACTACTTAAAAATAATAAAATCTTAAAACAAAGTCTACAGAGAAAAAGGGCCCAAGACCACCTAAAAAAGAAGGAAAAATCCCCCAAAACACTTGGCTTAGGCCATTTCCACATATAATCTCTTTTCTCCTCCTGTAAGAAATTCTAGAAAGAGTCCTAATAGTGACTTTGGTAGAAGTGGAGGTAAGCCCTGAGCTATATATTCCAGGTTGGAGTTTGAGCGTAGAACCAACTCCTACTACCATCTCCAACTGTACACAGGTTCAGGCCCCCATCTGTGCCCTTGCTCTTGTTCTCTTTGCCTGAAATGCTTCCTCTTCCCTTCATCTAAATGAGAGTGTCTTAAATACCCAGGTCTAGCTTCATCATCTACTTGAAAGTTTCACCATTAAGTGACACCTACTTCTCCCTTCTCTGAACCCTGATTATATTCAGAGTGCATACCACATTTTACTACCTGTGGCACAAATGGTTTTTTCCCTTTATTTAGACAACAACCTTTACAGGAGTCCTGCATCTTTGCCAACAAAGAGCACAGCATATGATACATGGCAGACGCTAAGTATCTGGTCATAGACTGAATTAAAAATTACTGGAGATAAGATATGAACACAAGCATATAAAGGTCTAATCCAAATTCTAGAAGGAAAACTTCACTTTTTCGACAAATATTACACTGAACATGTATTAAAAGATGGGCACTGAATGGCTAGAGATAAAAGAAAGACAAAGTCCCAATTCTGGTGCTTACAATCTCAGAGACAACTTAAATCTCTCATTTGAGGTTATAATCTATTCTGATTTGGATGATGATTGGCTGGAATCTAAAACATTGAGCCCTAAAAGCTCAATCTGCCAAAGCCTTACTGTTTGATGTTTAAACAAGTTGGACAATAAGCTTTTTGGTAAATTCCTCCTATTTTGCTCTAAGCAATGCAATAAAAATACTCATGAGGAAAAAAATAAACTTATCATAGGTTGGTGCAGAGGTTTATCTAATAAGTGCTATGAAAGTACAAGGTAATCAAAATAAGATAAAGTTAATCAGTGGTAGCTTTTCCATCTCGATGTGATACATGCCTTTTTTTTTTTTTAAAGACTGTTTATTTTAGAGAAAGAGAGTGCATGCACCGGGGGAGAGGGGCAGAGGGAGAGAAAAGGTCTCAAGCAGACTCTGCCTCAAGCATGGAGCCCAACACAGGCCGCAGGGCTTAAGCCCATGTCCCCAAGATCATGACCTGAGCTGAAACCAATAGTTGGATGCCCAACCAGCCGTGCTGCCCAGGCACCCCTGAATATAATGATTCTTAAAGTATACTAGTTTTCAGGAAAAATTTAACAAATATAAAATACTAGATTTTAAAATCTCAGAAACAGCCAAAGGCTAGAAATGGCCTTTTAATCTTTCCTCATCCATTTAAATTTAATTTCACTGGAGATGATTAATTAACTATTCTATGAATTACAGTACCTTGCTTCCTTTATAGATCAACTATTTATGTAGCTTTTTTAAGAATCTCCCTTTCATCCACTAAATCCTAAAGGAGAAAGAGAAAGAGACAGAGGAAGAAGGGGACGTGAAAATGAGGGAGGAGAGAAAGGAAGATGAAGAGAGACAGGAATTGTCCACTAGTGAAGTATTTCACAGGGCAAGCTTTTCCAAGCCTACAAGAAGGAAAAGCAGCATATTAGTAAAGCCTATGAGGTTCCTCAGACTTATCAGCATCCTCAGATAATTTCTGAAGGAAAAGGTAAGCAAGTATCAAGGGCACTAAGGAGAAAAATACTTGTTACTGCTCACATATCTAAATAATCAAAATTCCTTAATAAGTCATGCTGGCTTAACAGAACCAAGACTCCGAAGACAGCTGTTCTGGAATTGAGGTGAAAAAGGCAGGAAGGTACCTGCCCATCTTTTATGAATTCAAGCCCTAAACCACAGGGGTCCAACTGCTGCCCACCCAAGAACTCCTAATGTGCCCTACCTATCTTACTCATCTTGGGCTCCTTGAAACCTAACCTGCAGCTCCAGAAACACTGTCTGGCTGGTGCCTCGGCCATTCTGAACCCCTCAGTCAGCGACTGAATACTGGGCAAGATACCAACAGATGGTTTACTTTCAATGATATGAGCAACATGTCTTTTCAAGCTGCTGCTGAATCACTTATCAAGGTATGAATCCTTACTGAGTGTGTCTATGTAAAATTTGCCCCCAAATCCTTCAGAATCAACCTTGTTTCCCAGGCCATTAATAGCTGACTTGTGAAGAGCAGATGCAGAACTGCCATCAGCAAAATAGCCCTCCTGAAAGATTCGGTGGATAATTCCAAGGCATGCTGAGAATCAATCATACTATGATACCATTTCTGTAATGTAAAAATATGTATCACTCTAAGTCCAAAGACATACATATAGGAATAGATCTAGAGAATAGTGATAAAACTATTAAATACTAATTGAGGTCATCTCTACATGTTGGGATTTGGGCACGGATTCCCCCCTCTTTTTCTAATAAGTGTTTATAAAACTCTTCAGAAAACAAAGTGTATAACTAGCGTCATGTTTTTAAGGTGGGGGAAGCAGTTCTTCCCTCTAGAAGCTTCCCCCTAGAAGCTTGGCTGTTACTGGATAGAAGTCTCCAAGACCATCTCAGAATCACAAGCAATCCTTGCTTTACCTGAGAACACAGAGTTGTAAAAATAACTTTTTGCAAGGAGATCTTAATAATCAATGGGGAAAACCACAATTATATGACTTTTTTTTAAAAAAAGATTTTATTTATTTATTGACACAGAGAGAGAGAGATCACAAGTAGGCAGAGAGGCAGGTAGAGGGAGAGGTGGAAGCAGGCTCCCTACTTAGCAGAGAACCTGATGCAGGTTCCCAGGACACTGAGATCATGACCTGAGCCAAAGGCAGAGGCTTAATCAACTGAGCCACCCAGATGCCCCTATTCTGTGACTTTCTTAAATGTCTGTAAAAACATTAAGAATTCTCTTACTGCTACAATATATAAGGAAATGAAAAAACAGTAAAACTATTTAGTTTACTATAATTTAGAATATTAGACACATTGAAATATAAAATATTTTCTTTGTGAAAAACTTATCAAGAGTAGTTTGAACACTGCTTGCCTTCTTCTTCTCTGTATAGGTATATAACTTACAATATGGAGTGAGCATGTTTTCTGTTCCTTGGCAAACTGTGATACTCCTTTCTAAGCATCTACCATTTTAACCTCTGTGTCCAGATGCTACAAAATACCTCCAAGGCCTCCTTCAATGGGAAGTTTTCTCTGGTGTCACTCCCTTTGGGACATCTTCATCCTTCTCGTCACACTTTCATAACTTACATCAGTAAGTTCACCCTCACTAAGTTTCTCTGGCTGCATATGTAGAATCTCATGAACAGCAGTGGCATCAACATTATTTACTAAATTGTGGTAACTGGAATTTGTGCGTGTTGAAGCCATGCAAGGCAGAGACTGCCCATGCATGCAAATTAGATGCGAAATCATCTCAGGAGTTATGTTCCATCTATGGTTTGGCCACCATACCCTAACCCTGCCAGTTCCAGACCAAACAAATAAATGGACGATTCTGTTCTGGAAGAGACTCAGACCACTTGGAATTAGAAAAAACATTAGAGATCATTTAATCTAGTGCCCTCATTTTATAGATGGGGTGCTGAAAATCACCCAGAGATGTGAAGTCATATGCCCAGCACCTAAATTGATTTCGGAATTCAAAGGAAAGAAGAAAGTAAAGCAAAACAAAACAAAATGCTCAGCCTCCAAATTCCTCCTTCCCACATCATGGTATCACTTTACTGAAGCAAAAAACTGTTCTTGGACTGAGCTCATCCTTCTGAATGTGCTTGGTCATGAATATGCTTTTGTCATGGGGTGAGCTTGGGCAGTCAAGAAATCAACACTGCCTCAAACTCTGCCAAAACAGGGTTGACCACACAATCTGAAACAGAATCCTGACACCTCCACACGAGATGACCAGAAATATTTTGACTACTCTCCAAAAGTCTTTAAATAGTTTCTTTGTTTAATTTTATAGTTAAGGAACAGATATGAATCAGGTTTTTTTCTTGTTGGGCGTATGTGTTTATGTGTTCCAATTTGAACTTCATCACATCAGAAAGAAAAAGAATTCAGAGTTCGGAGAAATAAAAAGGGCAGAATATTTGAGTCCTATTCTATGCTGCATCTCTCTTGAGGCATATGACTGTCTACGGCTGAAACCCTAATGCAAAATGCAGCCACCATCATTAAGAAACACAGTATAAGATGTGATCATTTAAACTTCTTTTTTCAACAGATAAGGATAATATACATAAGATACCACACAGAGCATCAAATAAATGCGCAATATTTGATATTTGTATGTAGTGCTTCTGTTCACATAGTGTTTGTATATATCAATTCTCATTTAATCCTCACAGGAACCCTGTGAGGTAGCCAGACAAAGCGCCCATTTATAGAGGAGTCTGTAGACCAGAGGGGGCAATGGACTTGAGACCACACATCCAGACAAAAACGCAGGTCATCTCCCTGCTATTCTCATGTTGCTCCCACCCGAGTGCAACACCTGAGAGCGCACACAAGCTATATGTATCAAAAACGTGATTTAATTCATAGCATAATAAAACATGGCATCAGATACTCATTAATAAGGGGTGTTATCAAAATAACACAAACCAATTATGCCAGGATATCTCTGATCAAAACTGGGAAACTAGCTAATGTGTCATGAATTCTTTAGTCTTCCTAGACACGAAGCCACATGTTTGTTTGTTTTTTTTAATTTTACAACAGTAAACACTTTACCAGCTCATCTTTAACTTCCTAGTCATCTTAGTTAAACCTACTATATAAGTGCCTATATTATAAGGGGGGGGAGGATTTCCTCCTAGTATTTATTAACCACATGTCAGAATCGTATAGTCCATTACCTAACTCATTTATGCTCTGGGCATGACAAGGCGATTGTGAGCTCCTCATAATTTATGTAGTGGCTCAGAATTCCGGCTCATTCTAAAGTTGTCTCTTGCCTCCCTGATATGTCCCACAATTTCAGGTTTCAATGTACATCACTATTTGGGTTTTTTTCTGTTCCATACTCTGACCCTCTCGGTCTCTAAGTGACCTATTCTTTTTTTTATAAGTTGATAATCCAAATTCTTAAATTTCCCTAAAGTACTGGAACACAAAATTCATAGTAGGTGGCCCTAAACCATAACTTCCATTCACATTTCCTTTAAAAAAATTAATAAATAAAAATTTCCTTTTATAATCTAACCACTCACAAAAAAGGTGTGCTTCATATAAACCACGAAAGCTTCAGTCTACTAATAAATCATTTAGTTTTAAAAGTTCTTCTTTAAGCTTTAAAGTTATCTACTTAATTCCATGGTATAAATCACAGTCAATAATAGTAGCTAAAGTTACTTAATTTCTTGAAAGTAACATCAGAATATTATTTTTTATATTACTAGGTTAAATTACATCACTCGAAGACTAAAAAGAGCCACTAATTCCAGGGGCACCTGGATGGCTCAGTCCGTTGAGAATCCAGCTCTTGGTTCTGGCTCAGGTGGTGATCTCAGGGCTGTGGGATGGAGACCCACATCAGGCTCTGTGCTCAACAGGGAGTCTGCTAGAGATTCTCTCTCTCCCTCTCCTCTGCCCCTTCCCCACACCCACTCTATTTCTCTCTCTAAAATAATAAATAAATCTTAAAAATAAATCAAATAAAAAGGGAAATTAGTCTCAGAAACTCAAGATTTTCTACACTTCAATTTAAACAATTTGCTAATTCTCATTATTTTGGAATAAGCATGGCTCTCCAAGTCTAAAAAAATACTATGAAACACTGTTCTATATTGTTGCAGGAAATGGTAGCAAAGCCTGTTACCTCACCTTTAAATAATAAACCAGAAGTTCATTCAGAGCAGGATCAGCATTCAGATTAACAAGGAAGCATTTATCATCCCCAACTTTAATCCCAGAAGACTGAAGAGATATTCCAAGACTCTCAAGCTGTTTCTGTCGCTCCTGTAAATGTATTAGAGAACTATTAATTCCATAACTATTGATACAGCAAGATATAAAAGGTCGTACATTGGAATAATTATTAAATAACTGTATAATTAAAGTATGTTATCTTAGGACCTGGTATTATAGATCACTGCATTTTTTCTCTTTCCAAACTATATGTTATTTTACCTTGTTAACTGCAACTTTATTTTGAGGAAATAAAGGCATTACCAATAGCAACCAAATATTCTACTGAGTTCTCAATTTTCACTCTTGAAAATACCTAACATCTTAAATTTGTCTCTCTCGTTTAATTCTGTACATCTGAGCAAAGCTGTTTTACCAAACATAATCTTTCCATAAGGCCAAATTTTTAATACACTCTCTTGCCCGACAGCCACGGTGAATCCCCAGCCAGGATAAAAGCCAACTCCCTCAACAAAGTCCACAGGCCCTCAATCTGGCCCATTTCCTCTCCATCTTCATGTCTTACCGTTCCTACTCTCAAAGGCTTATATACTCTCAAAGAGTTATATGGAACTCTTCCAGATTCCTGAAAGGATCAAGAATGCGCTCCCTAGCTAAACAGATTTTACACCTGTCTCTTCTATCTGAAGCATACTTGTTCTCATACTTGGTAACTCATACTTGTTTACTTGACTATTTCTCTATGAAGGCAGGGATCCCATACATCCACTGTGAATTCCTAGCACCTAGCACAGTGCGTCATACACAGTGACGGCTCAAAATGTTAATCTTGTGAATGTATCAAAATAAAAATTGCATATGCATTCAAGTATTATTTTCCTAAGAATATGAACCTTTCTTCTTTGTGCCTACCTGTCTCTGAATCCAAACGATATACAAAGGTATACACAGAGGGGGATATAGACTCCTGCAACCAGTAGTCTAAGATTAAGGTATATGAATAGGGGCAGAGCAGGGGGTCTTTGACTACACATAAATAGCAAGTGATAATGAGTCACAGCCACCAAAAGCCTTTGATTCTGAGGAAAGACAAGAAAAGCTAAGTCATTTTAGTAAGGCCACATAGTAAGTTTGCAGTACAACTGAATTACAGCCTGAGGATTCTGCTATTTTTAGGGATACCGTCCCAAAGTTATCTGACCATGGACCATTTTTCTTCCCAGAAGACTTATTAACAACTGGTGGCTATACCGCCAGAAATGCATTTTGGGAAATGCTAGTCTCTTCTGCAAAAAGGTCAGTGACCAACAGACCAGGTCTTTTTCCATGAGAGAGGAGAAGCAAGCTCAGCAGCAGAAAGCCTCGAGGCTTGCAAAGATAAGGTGTTAAATGAAGTGTTGGATAAAATCAGGCACCTTCCTCAAAAGGGACATCGGATGGAGGAAGAGAACAGTTAAGTAAGGAAAGATGCTAATGATAACAATTTACCAGCATTAGCAACGCAATTTCACTTAGACCTACCCTGCCTTCCATCAGCAAAGCAATGCAAATACAATACCATTTCAAAGTCAATGTTTACTTTTGGAGTAGCTCAAAAAGGCTCACACAAATTAGTTTTAAGTTGGGTAATTATTAGACTGACTTATAATTTATGAAAAACAAAAAGTGAGTATAAAATGAGAAATAAAGTTCATACACTGGACTATTCTCTTCTCTGTAATTTGAAGGATATGCATTAAAATAACTCAGTGTTACAGATAAGACCAGATGGTCATATGTTGATCTCAGTGAAACTGGATGATGCCACAAGTGGATCCATTATACTCTTCTCCTGTTTTTATCTATTTTGGAAATGATGATAATAAAAAACATGTAAAAATTAGTCTGCACTAATATAACATCCACTTTCTGTTACATAATAGTAGTACCATCCTACAATATCTGATGTACACATTGATTCTGGGCAGCACATTTAAAGATGGAACCTGCTGGGTGACAAAAGTAGCAAGTTCTGTGTATTTACTAATATGAGGAAGAGCTGAAAACACTAGAGAGTTTTAACTTTAGAAAAGGAGGGGAAGAAGGCAGAGGTTACCTTAAATATCTGGGTAATGACTGTCCCTGTCTTGTAGGACTGTTGGGGGGCTTAAATAAAATACTCTATTTAAAAGTACTTAGCATAGGGCCTAACCCAGTGTACGTAATACATATTTGCTATTATTACTTTCACTTACTGTATGTATGTGGGACACCCATTCTCTTAGCTTTGAAGAACAAACTAAGGACCATGAATGGAAATGAAAGAATAAAAGATTCTGATTAAATAGCTACTATTGGAGTCATCAGAGCTGTCCAATCATGAAAAGATTGCTCAACAGGGGACTGGCCTCCACATTACCATGTATATTCCTAAAACAGAGACTGAATACCTACCTAAAAGGAATGCCATGGAGCAAGTCTTTTACTAAGTAGACAACTGGACATTTAGGATTCTTTCCAAATGCTAAGGTTCCCACCATAAAATTGCACAACTCTACCTCTATTAAGTATTTTAAACACAACAGATAGCTCAGATTTAGGTATTTCATATTACTTTTATTAAGTTGTCATAATAAAGCCAGAGGCTTATAACCGAGTATCTGCCACTAATAATTTTGTAGTATGGTTCAGTTCCTTAGGACTGCAAAGCACTTAATAGAATTGGGGGTTTAGAGTCAGAGACTACAAAGTAGCTACTTCATTTAAAAAATGTTTATGTCTCTAAGTATATTTCTTACATAATGAACTACTAATTATAATTATGTCTTCTTTAGCCTTTAAATTAACTTTGTGAAATAGACTCTTGGATCTACTTTCTTATTACTGGTGCTAGATTTGCCATCTTCAAAGCTAAAAATCAAAAAAGGAACCAGAAACGCCGTAAATAGCATTGCACAAACTGCCACGAGCTTTCTCTTGCTTTAATTAGGAAGCACGAACCTGTGCAATCTCCTCGGTTTTCCTCAGTTTCTCCTCCCAGGTCACAGTCATTTCCTGGATTAGCTTCTCTGATTCTTCTAGTCGGTCTTTTAGTTCTGGAGATTTCATTGCCTATAAGAAAATGTTTATTTCATGAAATGTCTGTACCATGCCCTGAAGAAAGCATTAACTAAATCCAAAAGGATAATAGTAACAATCTGGCTGCTCTCAGCTCTATAATTCACCGACCTCTCTGATCTACCTAAGCCAGAACGATGAATGGGACTGACACACAGCAACCAGACTCTATGCATCCCACAAGCTCACTCAGTTACCCAAGATGGGCTTGAAAGGAAGACTCACCTGTGTTCTTCCAACCTACTGTCACTGTGAAGATCTAGTTACATTTATTCTTTTTAAGATTTATTTATTTATTTATTTGACAGCAAGAGGGGACACAGCAGGGGGAGTGCGAGAGGGAGAAGCAGGCTTCCCAATGAACAGGGAGCCTGATGCAGGGCTCCATCCCAGGACCCTGGAATCATGACCTGAGCTGAAATCAGATGCTTAATGACTGAGCCACCCAGGCACCCCAAGATCTAATTATATTTAGAGAGACAGAACATTTAAGCTCTCAATGGCTTATTTTTAAATCCCAATAGGTCTGTATATTTAGACTCATATATGGGATTCATTCTAGTCTCTACTCATGACTTCAGCTATTGATTCAAGTATATACAGATGAAATCTGCACATGTTGTAAACTGAACAGTGGTATTAATACCAGGAAGATGGAAAGAAAATTTCAAAGAATCCTGATGAACTGTAAAATTATCCCTGTAAAAAAAAGATAAATTTCAAAGGGCAAAAATATGACCAAGACAATTGTTTTGACCATGTATTTTACCAACTTACTACCAGCAAACAGGTTATAAAAAAGAAAAGGGCTATGGTCCCAATCCCAGGAAAGAGTCCCACAGGGCTGATCATGGGAATAGAATACTAATTAAGCTAGAGATCCTGAATCTAGTATTTTATTTCACCTTTGAAAAAGAGGATGAGCATCTGGTTGTAGGTTAGAACTGTACAGGTTTCAAATTCAGTAAAGGAACATAAACACCATACATCACAGAATATACAAAGGGTAGTAGAAATAGAGCACCTCTAAACTGATGGGTATTTCTTTTTTTTTTTTTTCCAGATTTATTTATTTGAGAGAGAGAGCATGAGTGGGAGGGGCAGAGGGAGAGGGAGAGAGAATCTTTTTTTTTTTTTTAAATTTTAATCCATTTATTTGACAGACAGAGATCACAAGTAGGCAGAGAGACAGGCAGAGAGAGAGAGGCAGAGAAAGAGGAAGGGAAGCAGGCTCCCGGCCAAGCAGAGAGCCCGATGCGGGGCTCAATCCCAGGACCCTAGGATCATGACCCGAGCTGAAGGCAGAGGCTTTAACCCACTGAGCCACCCAGGCGGCCCAAGGGAGAGAGAATCTTAAGCAGACTCCCCACTGAATGCAGAGCCCAACATGGAGCTCGATCCCATGACCCTGAGCCAAAGCCAAGAGTCCAACACTTAACTGGCTGTGCCACCCAGGCATCCCTAAATAGATGGGTATTTCTGCTATAAAATATTTTTTCTACAAACATAATTAAACCACAACATGGAAAAACTCAATTACTAAGATGTGGAAAAACTCCTTAAGATTTCCATTCTGCCTTCAACCAGTAAACAAATGATACAACAAGTATCTGCTTGAGTCCTCTTCCAGTCAGTCTTTTCTTCACTAAAATTGCATACTTTGTGTTTCAAGCATCTCTCTCCCTCTCTCCCTTATTCTTAGTTACATCTCTCCCTTCTTGTCCCCTGCCTATACTGTAGAAAGAAACATTTTCTCAATTCCCTTTATTCTCTCTTCCTATTCAATCCTTTCACACCTGTATAAACTCTATAAATTTCAACTATGACTATCTGTCTTTACTTATTACTCATCTCAAGTTTCCTCTTCCTATAGGAAACTCAAAAATTCTAAGTGGAGTACTTATCACTTACAGCTAAGGGGAAGAAAATTCAAATTCTAGATTTTCCTAGACCCACAATGTGTGGCTTGGCTGTGCCTTATACCTCTGCTTTGGTTAGCTGCTCTCGGAGCTTTTCCACTTCTTCCCGGAGATCCCGGATAATTCGTGCATTAGGATCCTCATTCACCACAGCATGGTTCACGATGTTCTTGGCTCGATCTGCATACCGCAGAGTTGAAAGGGTTTCATCATAGTTATCAGCTGCTGGACTAACAGTGGCCACCATGGCTGTCTTGCTGTTACCCCCAAGACTGTCCTAGATGAAGAGAGAAATTGAGTAGGATTTTTAAGTTGGAAGAAAACATCATAGAGGAAGTTGAAGTCAGACAGGGTGAGAGAACATACCAAGGTCAAACATATATTAAAAGGGCAAAGCTAGGACTAAAACAGATATACTGACTCATGTCCCATGCTCGCTCTTCTCTGCCAAGCTACTTTTCCGCAGAAGGGAGATCTGGTTTTTAAGAAAAGACAGGGAAATACAAGGAAGCCTACATTTATTTCAGTTTAATAACAATTGGTTCTAAGCAGGCTACTCAAAAAACAATGATTTCTTAAATGCCTAAAAATCTTCCTTAGAGAAACTAAGAAATCATGATATTTGTTATCTGATCAAAAAGTGATTACCTACAATCTACTCCATAATGCCATGTACTTCCTTAGAGAAACTGAACAATCATGATATTATTTCTTATCTGATCAAAAAGTGACTACCTACAATCTACTTCATAATGCCATGTACTTGGAATCTCTGTGAAGGTTAAATAATGGCAGAGAAAGTGTTGCTGTTACAAGCTATCAAGTACCTTGCAAACTTTTTCAAACATAAGATTTAATTACAGTCTTATAAAATAAAAGATATGTTGAAGGTACCTGATTTTATTCCCTCTGACAGCACTTCAAAAACTAAAAAAACAGGCTTATCTTCTACGCAACCATTTCTACAGTTCAGGCAAGGGGGCTAAAGAAAAGACACTCAATTTCATTATGCTAACACTGATCGGTCTGGTGAAACAGGCTTTAGAATGGGCGCCAACAAATTCAAAAAACTACTTCCACTTGAGAACATTACAAAATAACTAAATATAACTCAGAATTACAAAACTAGAAATCAAGTCCACCCTGACTCTGCTTCACCACCCAAAGGCTGTATGTAATCCACCTGCCACAGGCAGCCTCTCAGACAGCCCCTGATGAGCCCTAACCCCTGGTATTCCTACCTCAACCCCTAGCCCCTTCCCTTCAGTGTAGGCAGGACATTTGATTTACCTCTAATGAACAGAACAGAGCAGAAGTGATAGCATGTCACTTCTGAGATGAGATTCTAAAAAGATCATGGCTTCAGTTACAGGTGTTTTCTCTCACTCTTGGGAAACACTGTCAGGAGGTGAGGTGACCCTATGAAGAGACCTCAGGAGTGAATTTGGAAACAGATCTGAAGTCTGCCAACAACCACGTAGGTGAGCAGATGCAACCCCAGTCAAACCTTGTACTGACTACCCCGGTAACATTTTGATTGCAGCCACGTGAGAGACCCCTGCAGGAACCACTTGGTTAGACCACACCCAGAATCCTGACCCATGGAAACTATGAGATAATAAATGGGCTGTTGTTTCTAGCTGTTAAGTTTTAGATATTATCTGTTCCACAGCAATAGATAACTAATAATACACTAACATACCATCCCAAGATGAAAAGAATTAACCAAAAAAAGAGACTCGATACCCTCTTTCAGCAAGAGAATATCCCTGAATTATAGATTCTCAAGATAGAGAAAAGACTCAAACAAGGCAATATGGGGAACCACAGGTTGTAAGAAAGCCAACTCTACTTTGGGCAGCATTAACAGATATAAAATTCTTACTTCTGAAGATACAAAGTTTTTCCAATATCAACGTATCTAAAATTTGTCTGTGCAATCTGTGATTTACACCATTTCGGGACAGATTTTACCTAGTCTCTCAGCCTTTTGTGAACTGGATTATTTTTCTGATTAAAAAAAACCCAGAGGTTTGTTCTAAACAAAAAAGGTCAAATATTCTGCCTAAAAATCCAGACCTTAGTAAACTGAACAATACTCTCATCCAGTGGTATTCCGCTTTCAAGTCCAATATGACTTCTACTCTCCCACAGCTACCCACAATTACACAGTAACCAAGTAACACTTGGCAACATAGAGAGCTCAGACCTGGGGAACAAGTAAAGTGGCCAGACAGCTTTCCAAGTTATTCTGTCCTACTGCCAGAGACAAAATAATTCCCTAGATAATGCTAACAATTCAATACAATCACAGACAATGTGTGTGTGTGATTGACAATGTGACAATCCACTAAAGAAAATTCAGTTTTCCATAGAAGACACAGCTTAATTATACTTCCAAAGGAAATACACTCTAACGCATGAAAAGGAAGGAAGCATAAGTAATCTGGGCTCTAGAAGGCAGAAGTGACTCCCGCCAAGTCTGCATGATGGCTTGCTTTCTTCTTTGCTTCCAGACACTGATCTCACACCGTTAGTGCCCAGCTTTGGCAACTTCCAAAAGAATGTCAAGATGCACATGAATGAAATTCCAACGTTATATATAAAGATCACAGGAATGACATCTCCAATTACAGTTCAGTCACTCGCAACACCACGGGGAGTGCTGCCTTTCAGGATCTACTGCATTCTGTTAGCCCACGTGAACAGCAAATACTACTGGGTAAAAGGGGATTTCAGACAGTAGCGAACAAGGGGAAAAGGCATGGATACTGTGCTTCAACTTGTGCTGAGAAAAGGAAACCTGGCAAAGGACAAATACTTGATACTTTAAAAGCCCTTGTGCATGAGTAACAATATACTTATATTCAAAAATGGCCCCATGCCATCAGCAAGAAGGAAACAGCAACAAAAGAACTGGCACTCATTCAAGGAGAAAGTATAAAGCTTCTTGTTACTCTTTAATTGTTTAATTAGGCAAATCAGATGAGCTTTGTTGCAAATGCAGCAACTGCAAATTAAATGGACACAGGAAAGAAACTGAATTTTGGAAGGCAGGATTTTTTAAAGCTGAAAGAACACTTTGAAGTCATCTAACGAAATTACTGCACTTTACAGATGAGAAATTAAGACCCAGGAAGACTGGCAGACTTAATAGAAGGTCATAAATGCTAGTTCAGAGCAGAGGTGAAAGTACTCCTTCACTCAGCTCTTCACAGAGTTTACCACCTAAAGGGTAACACTGGTGAGCAAATATTATATGGTAAGAACTAGAGTAGGGATAAACGCAGCATGGTCGTAGAAAACACAACGAGCAGAAAGCCTAACCTTGAAAGGTTAGGGACAACTTTCAGGGAAAGTGACATCTGAGACCTAAAGATATTGAATAAGCATCATCCAGATAAAGGCTCGAAGGGAGGAAGTAAGAGGAGAGATTGAAAAGAGGAGGAAGAATGTTCCAAACAGAGTGAGAGTAAATTCCTAGAAGTTAGAGCACTCATCACTTACCAAGAACTGATCATAGCAAGAACAAAATGAACCATTTTCTAATGCCTAAGAGGGAGGGGTCAAATTACTGAAGGCCTAGTAAATTACAAGTCATTAAAGAATTTGGACTTTATCATAACGGCCTATAAGAGAGTTATTGAAGAGACTGAAGTTTAAAAAGAGTATTAACTTTAAGATATGATAACTTACTATAAAAAATGGAATGGAAAGCTTGAGGGAGATGTTTCAATCATCCAGGCAAGAGATGGAAGTCACCTTCATTAGATAAGTGGCAGTAATAATGGAAAAAGGTGGATTAAGTCAAAAGATACTCATTATTTGAGCATTTATTACCAGAAATTATTTGACGTTAAGAGGTTCATATTTAGAAGGTTACATTGAGAAGCAGAAAACCTCTTAATAAGAAATGGTTCTCCACTGACCACTTACCAGACGAGTAACCACTCCAACCACCAGGAGAAGAGCTAGAGAGAGTGAGAAGAGCACTCACATCCATCCCCCACCAAATCACCAAGGGCAGTCATTTTCTCTGACTCCCAGATGTTGTAAATATCAAGAGCATAACACAATTATAATGCAAATACAATGCAAAAACACTTTTAAAAGAAACTGCAAACCTTATAAAGGATGAGCAATTTTATGAGTTCAGTGATAGGCTGGAGTACACTAGAATCATACAAAATCGAACAAGGATCAGGGAGAGTTTGACTAATTTAGAATTAAAGAAGGAGAGAGCAAAAGGAACATAAAAGCCACTTTAAAGGAGAATGATTTGTGTATCAATGGATTCCAAGAGGTCTTTGGGAAAGTTGTGCAGACATCAGAATAAGTTTTGTAAAAATGCCCCACTTGTGAAGGTGAAATGTTTTTTAAGTAAAAAGTATGACAAAAATCAAGAAAACTTCATTTTTTTAAGCCTAACAATTAACACACAGAGGTTACAATTACACCTTAATTTTACTAAACAGAAGTTAAAGTGAGTTTTTAAAATGTTCAGTTTTTTTCCTCAGTTCAAGTATTTTCACAAGTTTCTATTAAAATTTGGTTAAGAGTAAAGTGCTTCTCCTTCTAATGAAAAATGACCTTTTGCAAGATGTACAATATATAGCCTAGGCAAGAGAAGATGGGGAGTGAGGTCAGCCCTGATTCCAATCTTGTTCCTGCGACCACTGTCATTTCTGTAAAATGGGAACACTACCATTTGCCTTCAGAGAAGTCAATGAGATCATGCACATGAAGCGCTTTGCATGGTACTTGATTCTCCTGCCTCCAGCCTATGGAATGGATCCTCAAGAATTACCCAGGCAACTTTAAGTCTGTGAATTAATCTGATAAAAGATATTTCCTAGTGTTTGTTTAAATGGACTAAGGTAATAACACTGGAACAACAGAACAGTAAATATTACATCTTTTCAATCAGGCACATGCAGGGAATAATCATGAATGATCGGGAAATGTTTCTGTGGGAAGTCTAAGGAAGAAGTAAGTATCTTATCGAAATTCCTTCTGGAAATTAAACAAATGAGATTTCAAAGTTAGTTACTGATATGTGAAGACCAGCACAATTATTTTCTTGGTAGTGAAATGTTTTGTAATACCCCTTAAATCTAAGAGTTATCTACAAGTGGTTTTTAATTATCAAACTTTGCTAATTTATCTTTTTGTTTTAAATTTCTAAAAATTTTTTTGCATTTTGGCCAAAGGAAGTACTCTACCTGATTTTCCATTGCGGCCAGTTTCACTTAATAAAGCACGCCCAGGGGCGCCTGGGTGGCTCAGTGGGTTAAAGCCTCTGCCTTCGGCTCAGGTCATGATTCCAGGGTCCTGGGATGGAGCCCCGCATCAGGCTCTCTGCTCAGCGGGAAGCCTGCTTCCCTTCCTCTCTCTCTGCCTGCCTCTCTGCCTACTTGTGATCTCTGTCTGTCAAATAAATAAAATCTTAAAAATAAATAAATAAATAAAGTATGCCCAAATGGCATGCAGAGTTTTAGAAGTAAAGTTGAACACCAGTAACCCTTTGAGAGAGTAGAAGCTAGGAGAAAACCCAACTTCCTTTACAAACATGTCATGGGCCAAGTTAAAGTTGTGTCACCTTGGAAGCAAACTGAGGACTTTGGAGGGGGGATGAGAGGTGGGGTGTGCCTGGTGGTGGGTATTATGAAGGGCACATATTGCATGGAGCAATGGGTGTGGTGCATAAACAATGAATTTTGGAACACTGAAAAAAAAATAAAATAAATTTTAAAGTAAAAAAAAAAAAAGTTGTGTCACCTTGGAAGTATAAATATTGTTATAATGTCTATTTCAGCCAAAGAAATCTACACATTTAATGCAATTCCTATCAAAGTATCAATAGCAGTTTTCACAGAGCTAGAAAAAACAATCTGAAAATTTGTATGGAACCATAAAGGACCCCAAATAACCAAAGTAATTCTGAAAAACAAAAGCTGAAGGTATCACAATTTTGGATTTCGTTATATTACAAAGCTGTACTAATCATAACAGAATGGTACTGGCACAAAAACAGACATATAGATCAACAGAACAGATTAGAAAGCCCAGAAATAAACCCATAATTATATGGCCAATTAATCTTTGACAAAGCAGAAAAGAATATGCATTGGGAAGAAGAAAGTCTCTTCAAAAAGTAGTGTTGGGAAAACTGGACAGTTACATGCTAAAGAATGAAACTGGACCACTTTCTTACACCATCCACAAAAATAAATTCAAAATGGATTAACGACCTAAATGTGTGACCTGAAATCACGAAAAATTCTAGAAGAGAGTATAGGCAGAAATGTCTGTGACATCAGCTCTAACGGCATTTTTCTAGACAGGTCTCCTGAGGCAAAGGAAATAGCAGCAAAAATAAACTATCAGGACTACCTCAGAATAAAAAGCTTCTGCACAGTGAGGGAAACAATCAATAAAGCTTAAAGGCAACCTACTCAATGGGAGAAGATGTTTGCAAATGACTTATCTGATAAAGGGTTAGTATCCAAAATATATAAAGAACTTACACAAATCCACACCAAAAACAAAACAAAACAAAAATCCAATATTAAAAAATGGGCAGACAACAGGAATAGGCATTTCTCCAAAGACACAGAGATGGCCAACAGATACACGAAAAGATGTTCAATATCACTCATCATCACGGAAATACAAATCAAAACTACAATGAGGTATCAGCTCACACCTGTTAGAATAGCTAAAATCAAAACCACAAGAAACAAGTGTTGGTAAGCACGTGGAGAAAAAGGAACCCTCTTGCACTGTGGATGGGAATGCAAACTGCTGCACTCTGGAAAACAATATGGAGGTTCTTCAAAAAGTTAAAAATAGAACTACCCAGGGGCTCCTGGGTGGCTCAGTGGGTTAAAGCCTCTGCCTTTGGCTCGGGTCATGATCCCAAGGTCCTGGAATCGAGCCCCACATCAAGCTCTCTGCTCAGCAGGGAGCCTGCTTCCCTTCCTCTCTCTCTGCCTGCCTCTCTGCCTACTTGTGATCTCTGTCTGTCAAATAAATAAATAAAATCTTAAAAACAAACAAACAAACAAACAAAAACTACCCTACAATCCAGAAATCCCATTGCTGGTATTTACCCCAAAATACAAAAACACTAATTCAAAGGGATATATGCACCCCTATGTATATAACAGCATTATTTATAATAGACAAATTACAAAAGCAGCCCAAGTATCCATCAACAGATGAATGGATAAAGAAGATGCGGTATATATACACAATGGAGTATTATTTGGTCATAAAAAGGAATGAAATCTTGCCGTTTGCAAAGATGTGGATGGAGCTAGAGAGTACAATGCTAAGCAAAATTAGTCAGAGAAAGACAAACACCATATGATCTCATTCATATGTGGAATTTAAGAAACAAAACAAACAAGCAAAGGGGACCAAAAAAAGGGAAAGAGGGAGACAAATCAAGAAGCCAACTCTTAATTACAGAGAACAAACTCTGATGGTTCCTGGTTGGGGGGGCGGGTGATGGGTGAAATAAGTGATGGGGATTAAGGAGTGCACTTGTGATGAGCACTGGGTGATATATGAAGTGCTGAATCACTGTATTGTATACCTGAAATTAAATGTAACACTATATGTTAACTATACTGGAATTAAAATATAATTTAGGAATAGCCAACAAAAAAAAGCTGTGTCTTCTACTAAGCGAACCTGTGCTTAACTCATCTTTATATTCCATATATATGTGGTAGTATATTCACTACCACAGTTGAGTAACAGGTGTTCAGTAAATTCTTGACTGATGAGAGAATAACTCATCACAATACAACACAGGGCTCATAAAATTATTTCTTCATTTAAAAAAATAGAAAAGAGAAAGAAGTATTGAGTAAAATATTTTGTTGCAGGTTGGCAACCCTATACAGAGTTAAACTGTCACTGGATTTTCTATCCTCTAGCTCCCAGTCCAATATCCAATTCACCACACCACTTCCATAAACTAAAGGGAAATTTGAAGACAAAGAGAGCTGAAAATAGCCTCTCTCTTCACCAAACTCCTATTACATGTCCTTACCATCTCTCTCATGGAATCACTGACTCTTGTTATAACATTTTGTGTACACATCTTATCTGCCCTACCAGACCCTGAGCAATTAGAGGGCAAGGAGGGTCCCACATTTCTTTACATTCTTGTCATAGCACTTTACAGCTTTTGTTCTTTCTCACTTCGATTTCTCCCAAACATACTAAATCAATTAACAAATGAATGACTGTGTGCTCTATTCTGTATCCTTAAACAACATGAAGAAACTAAAAGGAAATTAAAGTGATCATGAGTACTCTTGATGTTAATCAGAAAAACAAGGTCCAAAATGTCAGTCAAACAAAAGGAGTCTATGAGAAAGACAGAGTAATCCAGCTGAGTCTGTAAGACAGTGGAAATCCTTTCCTATGACTCAATCACTATCAGATTAGCACGAGGTTCCTCTTTTACATCCCAAAATCTCAAAGGCAACTGTGTTGTTCAGTGTGCCCCAAATCCCTTTGCTTCCAGGTTCTAGTGAATCAGATACTTAATCTATTAAATCTATGATTATCCTGTGAGAGACTAATGATTTTAAATTTGAACATTGGTAAAAGAAATGATACAGGAGGATTTACAGTCTACTCTTCCTTTCTACCAATCACCAAGAGTAGGCCAGAAAGGGTGGAGGTGGGGAGCTTACTTTGAGCAGCCAAGTGAGAACTGAGTCACGATATGGAACAAATTTATTCTTGTTTTTGCCAGCACTCTGATCTGCTAGAGCTGAGATAACCAGACCGAGAGTTGTGAGGGACCTGCATGGTACAACAAACCAGAATAATCATAAAAAACTAAGAATATCAAATGTCATATTTTAGCACAAAAACTGAACATCAAGATGCCTTGTACCTGTATGAGAATAGCACTGTTGTCAGCATTTTGCTGCTCAGTTTAAAACACATAAATTTTAAAAGCTGATATCCTTCTAACACTACTGCAAGCAATAAAATGGCTTAGCTCAATTATTTTTTTCATTTCTGTAAGTAGCAACATGAGCTGTCAACTTCTAGGTTAAGATAAAGACAAAAACACCACATATCTTTAAGAGAAGCCACAAATACAATACAATACATTAAAACTTAGTATAAGGCAAAAACCTTTGCATATATATATGTGTGTATATGAGGTATCTATGTATAACATTATGTACCTACACACATATCATACATAATATCATTTATACATCTGTGTATCACCATTCAATAATATAATAATAGCATAGCATTTGGATGATGATCTTTTATGATCTCCAGTTGGTTACTCTCATTATGCATCTTTCTGGATTCCCACCCACAAGGAGCTAGTAATTCAGCTTGAGGTAGAAAAAAAAACCATATGCAGGAGTCTGTATACAAAATATTATTTTCTAAAACCCTAGCTTCTTGGTGTAAATGACAGCAGTCATACAAGAGAAAGCCCAATGTGGCTAGGACACAATTTGATGTTGGTTCAGACAGTGACACCCAGGTTGAGATCAACATCTGGGCTGTGACAGACCATTACTTGGTCCTCTTCTATAGGTCAAACCAGTGGTTCTCAGTTGGAGGGCCACTGTGCCGCCACAGGGAGATGTTGGCAAGGTCCACAGACCTGTTTGGGTTGTCACAACTGGGGGTGGGGGAAGAGAGGTGGCAGGTACTACCACCATCCATCTAGAGGGTAAGGGCAGGGATCCCACTAAACATCCTACTAATACACAAGAATAGTCCCTGGAACAAAGAATTAACTCAGCCCCAGATGACAATACAGCTGCTCTTGAGAAACCTCTGATTTGACTGTGCTCCTCAGCCCCACCACACATCTCAACAAAACATAAAATAGGCTCAGGCCCATAAAAAAAAAAAAATTTATATATATATACATATATATATATAAATCTAGATTATATATTTATAAATACATATTTCATATATATAATATATCCAAAAAATTCTCCATTATTTATTCATTATAGCTTCAATCATTCCAGCATCTTATTCTTTTAATAACCATAGAAGTTCCACCATTTGGCTCTTAAATCAGTAAAATAATAAAAGTAAGCTTCTGGAAAACTTACTTGTTGATGTTGCTCCCCTCCTTCAACCTGTCCCCTGCAGCCCCGGTTTTTGTTGCTCGCTCACTGCCAGCTAAATCAACCAAGCTCAGCTTGCCCACTTTCTCTCCAGATGTCTAGAAGACAAATCAACAAATACTAATAAACAGTTAAACAACACAGGAAGTCCTGCATCTTTACCAAATGAGTGTATTCTCTAAATCCTTTATTAAAACACTATTTACTGTTATGTCAAAATTAGCTTGTGCTGCTATAAAACAGTGTAAGAAAGGGCGCCTGGGTGGCTCAGTTGGTTAAGCATCTGACTCTTGGTTTCAGCTCAGATCATGATCTGGGGGTCCTGGGATCAAGCCCTAAGTCTGGCTTGCACTCGGTGGGGAGTCAGCTTGATTCCCTCTCCTTCTCTGGCCCTCTCACTGCTCGCACACACACAGGCATGTACTCTCTCTCTCCCTCTCTCTCTAAAATAAATAAATAAATCTTTTTTAAAAAACAGTATAAGAAAACTGTATAGTCTAGTAGCAGATATATATAAAATTATACCCAATTCTACTAATCCAGATAAGAGTGAAAGTTATCTCAGAATATAGCGCCCCCCAAAATGGTATTCTTTGAAGGGAACCCAATAAAATTTTCTTTTTTTTTAAGATTTTATTCATTTATTTGATAGAGAGAAAGGAGGAACACAGAGAGAGAAGACTCCCTGCTGAGCAGAGAGCCTGACGTGGGGCTCAGTCCCTGGACCCCGAGATCATGACCTGAGCTGAAGGCAGATGCTTAACTGACTGAGCCACCTAGGTACCCCCCCAAAAAGTTTTCATAGAGAATTATATAAAATAACTTATAAAATATAAAATTTAATATGATATGGAACTGCTTAAAGTATCAAAATATTTACCAATAACCCTGAGAGAAAAATATTTCTGCAATTCTTATTGGTCTTAAAACAGTATTTTACATAATAGGATCTCTCAAAAACTCAACACTTTCTCACATTTTTCATATTATTTATATATAGTAACTCCTTTATTTCATAGTTTCAGGTATTAAATTTACATATTTCTCTAGTTATTATATATATACACATATATATATACTGACATTTTCCTTTATCAAAAATATTCCATAACATAACCACACACATGACAGATATTTTATACTTCAGCAACAATACAAGAAATGTGGGAAAGCAATGCCTAAATGGACAGGCTGGTTCATTTCTTAAAACTTTTCTTTAATATACATATTTATATTTACTTCCATAAATAAACATGTTGCTAACAAAAAGATATTCAGCTTCCCAAATCAAAAGTATTTTTGGTTAAAAAAAAAAAAGCCTTCAGTATGCTTTTTGTTTTATGCTGAAAAGGAAATAGAAAACAAAGAACTTTTTGTTGTTACACTAATCTTGCTGTGATGGTAAAAAAGAAAAATATGCTTTCAGCAAATGAAAATCTTGCCAAAATATAGCATTTTGCCAGCATGATTATTTTAGCTTCTGGTATTTGAAACTGATTTGCTGAGGGGTAGGCATCATAATAAAATACGCAAATATTCACATAAAAATTAAGAGGAAAAATGAGAAGGTTTCAGTGCAGTAGAAGCATATACATCTCTGGCTCTGTTTACTCTTCATAAGCTTCAAAACCAAACACTCCAAAAGTCATTCTACAAATCTACTGATTTTATGGTACAATTCCCTAATATAGTTTATTCCTTCTAATACTTAGCTGTTCAGTAAAAGGTAACATTTCCAAACAATATCTACTGAATCAGCTGGAGTTAACATTAGCTTATACAGCTAGCCATCCAGTTTAAAGCTCAAAAAATGCTATGGTTGAGGCTATGAGGTGTGAGGCATGGTGAGCATGTCCCACCTTCCTTTAGTTGGACAGGGTGGAACCGAAAACTACATTTCTCTGACTTGCTTGCAGCCAGGGTTCAGGATGTGACTTGGGTTCTGCCAAGCAGATAGACTTGCTTCAGATTAGGAAAGCATTAGCAAAGTAGAGGTCATCCCCCTGGCCTGTTTTGGCTTTTTTCTGCTGGCAAGCAAGATCATGGAAATAGGAGGTTTTCTTCAAGTGTCTCAGTTTACATTCTCCAGCTTCCCCTCACTATGAGGCAGCTGCACTAACTCCTGTGTCGCAGACCACAGCTATCACGCAGGCCTGGAGCTCACAGCTCTAGTGGTGGCCTCAGAAGCAGTATCATCCTTGGTGGATGAAATGTACATTGTTATTCCTAGACATTCAGTCTAGAATCCACTCTTCCTCAAGTGTTCTAACAACTCTGTAATCACCCAATCCTTCCAATAAATCCCTTTCTGTTTACCTACAGTGGCTTCTGTGTCTTGCTGAGTCCTAACTAATACTCATGTCTGGCTAGGACTTTACATCACCTAACACCTGAAGGGAATGGAATAGGATAAATCATGATCCACTTTAGAAATATTAAAAAAAAAAAAAAAAAAAAAAAAAAAGGTCAAGCATGTGAATACCTACCCCAGACTTCACATCATATAAAGTATGTGTAAGGGTGATTTTGAAGACTGCATGGGATCGACTGCTCTCCTCATTCATGTTGGTAGCCGCAACGGTACGGGATTTGTTACCCTCAGACATCAAAGATTCAATATCCTAAGTAGAAACAAGTCATAGACACATATTTCATTACCCGTCAAACAAACATCAAAACTCTGCTATCCTATGAAATGTATTATAAGTTTCACTACTCAAGTCAACCACATTTGGAGTTTACAGGTTTACACTTTATTTCTCAATGAACATTAAGCTCCACTGAATATAATAGCCAATACTGTCTCTGAAAACTCAAACAAAACACTTACTTTCTGTAGGTGCTGAATAAAGTAGCAGTTTTGACTGAGAATTAGAAAAGTTTAGAAGCCACATGTGGAGACCCATAAGATGGCCAAATATATCATACCAAACTTCAGCTAATCTAGAAATTTTGAAAAATTTAGTTTCTTTAATAACAGAAGCAATATAAGACAAGTATTAAATCAAATTTTATGAATAAAAAATAAACAAAAATAACTGCAACCCCTTCATGTAAGCATAAACTGCGTCGACACATTAGTGTATATTATACCAGATCTGTTTTTGAAAACAGAATATCAAGGAACTAAATTCCTGCACAGATTCACTACTTCATTGCCATCTGCTAAAAAGGAGATAGGATAGCATACCTTATGACCCACCAATTGCCCTACTGGGTATTTACCCCAAAGATACAAATGTAGTGGTCCAAAGGGGCAGGTGCACCCCAGTGTTTATAGCATCAATGTCCACAATAGCCAAACTATGGAAAGGACCTAGATGTCCATCAACAGATGAATGGATAAAGAAGATGTGATTAATACACACACACACACACACACACACACACACACACACACACACACACACACAGAGGAATATTATGCAGCCATCAAAAATGAAATCTTGCCATTTGCAATAATGTGGATGGAACTAGAGGGTATTATGCTAAGTGAAAGAAGTCAATCAGAGAAAGACAATTATTATATGATCTCATTGATATGAGGAATTTGAGAAACAAGACAGAGGATCATAGGAGAAGGGAGGGAAAAATGAAACAAGAAGAAACCAGAGAGGAAAACAAACCATAAGAGACTCTTAATCTCAGGAAAGAAACTGAGGATTGCTGGAGTAGAGTAGGGGGAGGTATGGGGTGGCTGAGTGATGGACACTGGGGAGGGTATGTGCTATGGTAAACACTGTGAATTGTGTAAGACTGATGATTCACAGACGTGTACTCTTGAAACAAATAATATATGTTAGTTTTAAAAGAAAAAGAAAAAAAAAAGAGATAGCATGATGCACTTGAAAGATCATGGGATGGGATCTCCATTTTTTTTAAATGTCATAAGTTCTAAAAATGGTTACTTAACCAAACTGAATTCTAGTTTCATAAGTAATAATACAGAGCTATAATATAATCTACCTTACAAGGATTTTAATGAGGAACAAGAAAGATGGTATGTACTGAAGAGCTGACTACTTGTCTCCTCTTACCCTGTCTCATTTTCTTTCTAGTAAAGGAACACAAAGCTGAGCACCTTACCTTGCAGTGGAACTGAGACTACATTTCCCAGATGCTGTAGGTTAGTCTGGCCATAGGATTCAGTTTTAGCAAATGAAACACAAAGTCATTTGGGAATTCTCCTTAAAGGGAGTAGGCATGCTCTCACATCTTGGTTCTAAGAGCTAAGATCTTGAACTATGAGAATAAGGGCATTACCACAGAGCCCTATGTGAAGAGCTGGAAGGAATCTAGGTCCCCAAAAGCATCTTTGGAGCCACTGTATCAGCCCTCTGCCCATTCATTCTTTCATTCACTCATTTGTTCACTTAAATATATATGAAAGTCACCTACTACATGACAGGTACATTTTGAATTCTGAGAGTGAATAAGGAACAAAACAGATGACAATTCAAAGAACTTAAATTCTATTATATTTTCCTGTTATTTGCAGCCAACACAAACCTAACTGACACACATATATGAAAAACTTTGAAAATCATAATTTTCTATTTTGCTGTATCAATGAAAAATAATAATGTTTATGAAAAAAATTCAATATGATAAATAAAAAGCCTCAAAGTAGAAACATTAACTACATGGGGCACCTGGGTGGCTCACTGGGTTAAAGCCTCTGCCTTCGGCTCAGGTCATGATCCCGGGGTCCTGGGATCGAGCCCCGCATCGGGCTCTCTGCTCAGCGGGGAGCCTGCTTCCCCCTCTCTCTCTGCCTGCCTCTCTGCCTACTTGTGATCTCTGTCTGTAAAATAAATAAATAAAATCTTTAAAAAAAAAAATTAACTACAAAAAGAAGTTTAAGCAGGCACCAAAATAGAAAAACCAACACAAAAAAGTAAAATCTATAATTTTTTAGATCCATTCTAAATTCATTTTAGATCTATTAAATCTGACAATCCTGAGACTTGATGTAAAAGCTTCACCTTATTTAGCCTACACTTACTTAATGGCTCCCAATCTGTTGTCTCATGCATAAGCTGTATCGAGCCTTTTAATTTTTTAAACAAGCAGAATGTCTCTTTACACTTTGCAATCTCCTCTGAGCCTTCAAAAACATTTGATCTCTCTCCAATGTTGTATAAATAAGTTCTCAAATGATCATTATCAAAATAACAATACCTACTAATATTTATATCAAACCCTAGCATTCTCAAAGACTTTTCACATTATCTCATTCGATCTCCACCAGGAAATCTTCCTAGACACCACCCTCCCCAGACATCCTCACATCCATTTAAGTTAGGTACCCCCTCCTCAAAACTACCATGAATCCTAATCATGCATTTCTCACTGCTCTTAAAATCATGTTGTTTTAGAACACCTTTATAATAACATCTATAAGCATCTTGAGGAAATGGACCATCTCATTCACTTTTTATATCTTCAGCACGTGGCACAAAGTCTGGCACACATGACAAGTGTTCAATACGTGATTATCAAATGAAGTACCTAAAATTTATTAAGTGAAGTATCATGGACCAAATGGTAGAAAGGACTAATGAACAAAAAAACACAAATGGACCTACCTCACAAGATAGTCAAGAAAATAAAACTAATTTCCATTTTAAAAATGAGCACAAAGAGGATTAGTGAGGTAGGTGATCTGAGTCATACAAGAGTCACATACAAGAGGATTAAGTGTCACCAGATCAACATTCTCTGACTCTTAAGTCAATGTACATTACATCACAGCATCTCACTCCACCCCTATTTTCCTATCTCGCAAAGGCTGACGGATCCACACAAAGAAGAACTAAGTTTGAAAATGAAGAGAATAAAAGGCCAATGAGTGATCCTCTCAAATCAGAAACAGACTTTGAATTCCAAATACCCAATTCATGTTTTATTTAATGAAATCATAGGCAACTTCATTATCTTATGCACTACTAGGGAAGAAAAATGCTGCTGTATATTATTTTAAGACACAATTATAAGGATTATCACAATTTTAGAGCTCATAAAATATGAAAGTAAAGGTGTATTTCACAACAGATGAATAGGGATGCTTTGCAAATGTGTACACCCTCTCTCAAAATTAAACTGTCCTAATAGCCATATATGGCTTTTTAAGAAAGATCTTTGCAAAAAGTAGTTTAATAAGTAATGCTACTGTTAACTTTTTTTATTTCAAGAAAAATAATCATCAGAAATTAAACAAGAAATAATCTGCTACAGTGAATTTCGGCAGTGTATACAAAGGAGGTCATTACCTTGTAGCTTGTGACAGCCAGTTTGGAAAGTCCATCGACATAGGGTCCCAAAACATTGTGCTCTCTGACTTTTAACGTTTGACGACTTCTGCCATTAAAAAAGAAAAAGAGAATTTTAAAATAATAACCTGCTTTTAAAATGATTCAATTGTGCTCCATAAAAATATACACTGAATTCAACAAAGATCCCAGGTAAAGAGAATCAACTTACTTAATCTAAGAAGAATATAAACCAAACTTTAAAATCTTGACTGGTAAGAAAAACTTCATAATGTGGTAAAATATCACATCACTCAAAAGGGTACACTGTGGGATGTCTATTTACTACCACAAAGAATGCGGACTCTAGATACAAACATCTACTTGTCATTTCACAGAATGTGGTACAAAGAACAGAAACTCAATAAATGTTAACTGTGCAAGAAAAACTCAAGACCAATCTGAATCATAAATAAAGACAAACAACAGACTGAATTTAATAATGACTTAAAAATATAACATTAGGCTGATCCCAGGGCTACCGGGTTGTTTTAATATGGGATAAAGATTCATGCCCTTTACCACGCTAGACTAATAGATTAAGTAGATGGGGTAAAAAAAAAAACACATTATCATTTCAATAAGTGCAGTGAAAAGAATTCAACAAATTTACTTATTCATGATTAAAAAACAAACAGATACCACTTACAAAGAAGAAACTAATAAACTCAGTGAGGGGCACCTGCCAAAAACCTAAGGCATACAGCATACTTAATTACATCAACCAAAAAACATTAAGAATATTCCTTGTTAATTATATGGTAAATGAATTCTATCTCAAAAAAGCTCTGTAAAAAATATAAACATTACAATAAAAAAAGAATATTTGTTGACAGTGAGATTGCAAGTGATTCCTATTTATGAACTTATTTTCTAATGATTTGAAATCCTCTACTACCCTAGGATCAGCTACCAAAAACTTCACCTATTACTATAAAACTGTACATGAAATAAATATAGAACAAATATTTGACATAAGTCTGATCTCAGGACATACTATATCATAGCCTTTTCCTTTCATTTTTCCTATTCTCTTAAAAAGATACTGAATTCATAAAATCAGTACTTGATATAAAAAAACTAAGTTCTCTTGGGGCACCTGGGTGGCTCAGTCGGTTAAGCATCCAACTCTTGATTTCGGCTCAGGTCATGATCTCAAGGTTGTGAGATTGAGCCCCATGTTGGGGCTCCAATTTATTAAATAAATTAATAAATAAGTCTTAAAAAACAAAAAACAAAAAACAACAACAACTAAGTTTTCTCAGATAGTCTCCCTAAGAAGGGATTGCCCTTAGAGCTTTTAATCCATTCACTTTGACTCTTCAGAAACAATGCAAAAGTCCTCAACAAACTTTCATGGTGGAGGCAGCAGTAGCAGCTAGCCCCCAAGGTGCACTTACTAAGTAAATGTCCTAAGACCTCAGGCATATCCCAGCCAATCTCCACAGCAGCCCTTTGTGATATTATATAACGGTATTATCCCCTCAGTACAAATGAGGCCTAGAAAACATAAGAAACTTGCTCAACAGGTACCAATTAGAGGACCTGGATGCAGAGCTACATGAAGCCCAAGCTCAAGCTGTTAATCACTAACAATACACAAGACAAACATAAGAAATTACTGAAGACTCCAACCACATTGTAGATAAAGTTCAAGTGATTCCACACAAGCACCGTGGAATACAAAACAGGGGGATGAAGTCCGCTAAGCATTTCTAGCTAGGATCTCAAGAAAAGTGATGCTCTTCATAGAGAGGAAGGTGCAAGGGCGAGAATTCAGGGCAGAGTTGGGAAAAATACAAGGACACAATATTCAGCAAGATGTGGGTACCTAGGCTATAACCTTCCTACCTCTGGCCTCCTTTTGTTTCCTGCTTTGACTTTCATGCTTGGTGCCTTCCAGCCACACTGGACAGCGGGGTCACTCTCCAAGCAAGTAATTTCTTATACCTCTGTGCTCTGGCATAGGCTGTCCCCTATGCCTGCATGGTTCTCACCAAACTTCTCAATGGACAAACTCCTACTTGGAACAGAAATCATCAAGCACCTTCTGTGGAATCTTCTCTTCTCCTCATTCCCTTTGCTTTCTATTTTGTGTAAGCCCCTTACACAATTTAAAAACATTATTGCATTGTTTATAATTATTTGTTTCCAAAACTCTCATTCTGTCCACACTGGGAGATCTTCCTTTCCATCTTGCATAGTGCTCTGCATGTAATAATGATCATTCAACAAATGTTAAGTTTTACAGAGAAACACTTAAGTGCCAATTGAATGTCACTGGGAAAGGCCCAAAGATCATCATCTTTGTCAAAGAAAACAGATGCCAGTGAGAGGCTGACATGTTTTCTTGACTGAGCATTACTACAATGCACTGCTTCTAAGAGCACCTTTCTTTGATCAACTTCTTCATCCAAACATAACTAAATGTCCCCTGGTAACTCCACATTCTCTTTAACAACCTCAGCTCACTTGACCTCTGACCTTACAGACACTATTCTTACATCTATTAAGCCACAGGCTGTGGTTATTATGGGTTTCTTTCTCATCATGGTTGCACTTCCTTAAAATCTGATTCAGAAACTCTGTGCAATGGACAGATTTCCTCAGCTATGTCCTTCCTTATTAGGTTCAGTTATGATGGAAGAGTGAGAACAGCATTTTCTTAGGCTTTCTAATACTTTTGAACCACTTTGCTTTCAAAGTCTATGCCGTCAAAGGGGACACTCTTTTTCTCTGGGAATTTTTAAAATTAACTATCCTAAAGTTCAGGTTTTAAATCTCTGATTATGCTTCTCCCAAACTTCATAGCCTACAAAGAAAAAACAGTTAAATTCTGCCTGAAATTTCTTGGTCTTGTTTTTTAAAAAGAAAGGAAAAAGAAAACCCTACTTGATTAAGGATACCAGTCTGATATTAAGTAACTTAATTTTCCTTGCATATTTTTTGTTTGTGGTTTTGGATATATCTGAGAAAGGCAGTATGAGCCAGATATAGGTGCATTCGACAATACTTCCCTGCCCCAACTCAGCCTTAAATGCAAAAGCCAGAACTGGCTTCAGGAAGCCGCTCAGTGTGACTAAAAACAAAGTCACAAGGACAATAACTAGATAAACAGATAAAAGCACAAAGACAATCACTAGATAAATAACTCTCTACCGGAGTTCAATATAACAAATTTCACTTGAGTCCATTTCTAAGTGTGTATTAGTCCACAATGCTGTAACATTAGAGTTTCCAAAGTCCTTTACCCTTTGGGATCAAGAAGGTCTCTAACTTTTTCATTATAAATTTCCATATAGGACACTTCTACTTTAAAACTCTGCTCTTCATTTTCCTCTTTCTGAGTTCGTTCAAAGAGTCCACTACAAAGTCTTGGAATTAATCCAGGTTGGTCAGCTGTGCCCATCATGGTATAAGATTTTCCAGATCCTAAAAAGTTGAAATCATAGTTATTACTGTGTCTGAGAAGTTTAAATACATAACCCTCTTTCCATTGCTCATAAGCACTTAGCAAAATGGCCAAAAGAAAATAAAAAATATACCCAAATAAAATGACGAGACTACTAAATACAGAAGCTTTCCTATTACACATGTAAAATCTAAAGTAAACATCTTTTAGGAAGAGAATAAAAACATTCTTTAACCATCTTCACACTTAAAAAAAAAAAAGTACCTAAAACAACCAAAAAAACAGTGAGGTCTGAGCAGCTTTCTAAAATTAACTAGGAAGATCCATATGATGAATACTATTGTGACTGTTCCCAACCACTAATCATAGCACAAAAAATACGCATTATCCCTATAGGCCCCAGAGCAAAGTCACTTACTACCCTCTGGCTACAGGGTAGAAACCAAAGAGTAATCTTCTTTTTCTACTATAAAATTATTTTCTCCATTGTACCAAAAATATGTATTCATTAAAGAAAAGTCAGAACACACAGGAAAATAGAAAGGAAAACATTAAATCATGTATACTCCAACTTAAGAACTCTTTTTCCTTCTTTAGGAGCAATGCTTTTATAAAGATATTTTTAATCATACAAATTGCTGCTTTTATCACTTGACGCTTTATGAATGCCTAATAACTAAAACCAAAACACCACTTCTCAAGGACTAGGACTTTTCTATGAGTGTTTTATGTTAACTCATTGTGACAACCCTATAGGGAAGGCCTATACTCACCAACGTTTTCTAGGTAAGGAAACTGACATGTAAGTTTCACAGGAGCTGGGCTAGAGATGGCCTACCCTGGCTCAGAATCCATGCTCTTTTAACCACATCACATATTGCCTCTTAAAAAATATCAGAAGCATACTTCCATAAAGAATAGTTTTCAACTGGAGAAGCTATACGATAGTTTTCAATTGGAGAAGCTATAAGGATATACCCTTATAAAAGTGACTCCTTCACTTTAAATAGATTTTCTTCCCTGGGAACCGCAGAGGTACAGAAGTCAAATGCTCCTTATCAACTGTAACTGATAAGGTGCTAACAATATGTATTCCCTTTGTTACTTTCTCTGTTATATTCTTTAAAGCTTAAATATATATATTTAATATTATATATATTTAATAAAAAAATATTATTATTTAACATTACCAGTCTGTCCATAGGCAAAGATACATGCATTGTAACCATCAAAAGCATTCTGAAGGATATTCTCCCCAAGGCACTTGAAAACATCATCTTGACCTAAAAGAGACAGAGAGAAAAAGAATGAGAAAGGGTATTTTTCTGATGTGTATTAAGGAGGGCACTTGTGGTGATGAGCACTACGTGTTACATGCAGCTAATGAATCACTGAACACTACATCAAAAAATAATGATGTACTATACGCTGGCTAATGGAACATAATAAAAAAATAAAATTTTAAAATAAATGAAATAAATGAATAAATATTTAATTAATTAATTAATTAAGAAAAAAAGAAAGGGTATTTTAAGCCAAAACTACATATGTAAAATTTTTTGGAAAACTAAAAACAACCCCCTTAAAGATGCACTTTTTCAAACTATCTCCAAACAAGATTTTTAGACTTGATGAATACTTGCAAAAGCTAATGACTTTCAAGTATTTCTAGTTAGCACATGATAGGAAATGAGTAAAAAGTTCCTGATAATATGAACTTGAATTAATAAACACTGGACAAAAATTCTCTGCAAAGCAAAAAGCTAATGAACTGCTAATTTTATAAACAATGACTATAAATACCCAAAATTTATACTAGGGACCTCTATGCACCTGAATTCAACTATATACCACCAGCTAATGTTTTATTCAGTGGGTACTAGAATTCAAAACAACCATACATATCAATTTCCTCTCCTTTTCCTCAATGGTAATTTTTAATTATAGAGCCTACAATACACACCAGCTAGAGGAGGGAAGAATATCTTGAAAATGTCTTCTGGCTTTCAATCATGAACAAAAATAATAGGTTGAAATTCTCCTCCACAGGCTGAATTAAATATGTTAATAACTGAAGTCATTCAACCTCTCTTTGAGTCTTGAATAAAACACGAAAGAACTGGATGTTGTTATGTTTGTTATACTTTGAATGCTATAAATAACATTCCATTATGCCCCACTTCCTAGTTAATTTTCCAGATGAGTATATCATCATCTTACTTCCGATATAGAAGGAATCTGTAAGCAATCCATCGGGCCAGCTAGAGCAAATTAACCTTAACTTTCTGAACCAGCTGTAGTACTACTCTGTCTCATGACAAAAGCCAATACAATATGACCCTCAACATTTAAAAGGTATTGCTTAGAAACAGGTGTCATACGCAGTTAGGAATAAAGCAAATTAAAAGGCTGTCCCTGTAGTCCTAAATTTGTGGTGTAAAGAAGCTTGAGACAGTGTTGCTAAGGAGGGTAAGAGAATAACAGAATTCCAAGCAGGCAGAAGCAGAGCCTAGACTAAACTGTAAGTTTCCTTTTCCCCTTGCTCAACTTTCCTATACCAAGCTGCCTCTGTAGACCACATCACAGACATCTAAGGGAGTCAAAGTGGCTAGTGTGTGCTCCATGTCCTATGTAAGGTCTGGGAATGTGTTCGATAACCTGTGTACCCTATTAATTTACCTTTACTGTCTTATAACAAGAAGCGCACACTGTCAATCTCCAATTTCCCCAACAATGTAAAAACAGCAGAGGCAGGAGGAAATTCTCAATACAGGTCTTATTGTTACACAAATAATGTTGTAATACTTTGTGGGAAAAAATTAAAACACCTTTTCTATAGTAGTTAATAGGATGCCGTACTTACCTGCATATTTTTCTCTAACTGATTCATCCATAGACCAGAAACAGTGATCATATGCAAACACCTGTTGAAAAATGAAATATGGTATATACTAAGAACAAAACCTCAACATACTTATAATAAACAGTGCTATAACACTGATAACACTGTTCACAGTAGTGAAATAAAAATACCTTACTGTCTTAACAATGGAGGTTACTTGAATTATTTATGGTACAGTTTTACAATGAACAACTAAGCATCCTATAAATGATACCAACCTTTATTTCACGTGGAAAACTCTTCACAATGTTAGGTGAAAAAAGGGGAGGTTACAAAACAGTATTTATAATATGATGGCTATCGTATACACATATACATGCAAACACATACATAGTTACACATAGAAAGTTTCTTTCTGCATGATAAGATTAGTGATCTTTGTCTTCTTTGTTTCTATGGATTCTTTACATTTTTACTTTTCTCAGAGAAAATGAAGATTTTTTAAAAGAATAAAATGTAAAGATGATTACTATGGCATGGTAAAAGTAGTTATAAAATAGCAGATTCAAAAAATCACAACACACCCACATGCAATATTGCATAGTTTCAAGACTGCAGAACACTGGTAAGAAAAGTTCCATATTAATGGAAAAGATATGAAAGTCTGGACCATGATCCCATGTTTGTACCAAAATCTATACAGATAAAAAGTAGTTAAGAATACACATTGGAAAATGGTTAGTGGTTAATACCACCTGGTGGGACATGACAGATGATCTCTGTTTGGATCTTTTACATTTACTACTTTCCAAAATATGCATGGTTGGTTGTGTTTTTTTTTGGGGGGGGGGCACTCTTTTAAGTTTTTTTTCATTGAATTTTCTTTTTTTGGATTTCATATTTACAATTAAGTCTCAAAGGATTTTAAGTGTAATTGTGTATGTGTTTTTTTTTTTTAGGGGCACCTGGGTAGCTCAGTGGGTTAAGTCTCTGCCTTTAGCTCAGGTCATGATCTCAGGGTCCTGGGATCAAGTCCCGCAGGGAGCCTGCTTCCCCCTCTCTCTCTGCCTGCCTCTCTGACTACTTGTGATCTCTGTCTGTCAAATAAATAAATAAAATCTTTAAAAAAAAAAAAAAAAGTAAAGCCTTTTTTTTTTTTTTAATTTGAGAGAGAGAGAGCTTGCACAAGTGGGGACCAGGGGCAGAGGAAGAGGGACGGGGACAAGCAGACTCCCTGCTGTCTGCAGAGCCCAATGCAGTGCTCGATCCCAGGACCCTGAGATCATGACCTGAGGCAAAGGCAGATGCTTAACTGACTGAGCCACCCCGGCGCCCTAAGTTTAAGTGTTTTTAAAATCATTTAAGCTTGTAGTTCAAACTCTCCAATTTTGGAGTCTGTTGCCTCTCTTCCTGTTGACAGTTTTCCTCTTGGGCCCTTGTATGTTAGTTTGCAAGAGCATCTGAATTGGGAGTTTGTGTTTTGTGGTTTACGTGGTTGCTTGTTTTTTTCCTCTCCCTCTGGCCACCTTTACACTGCCACTCCTAGCTGCCAAAGCCCAGATTTTGGTCCTCCCAAAGTCCAATGTCTCCAAGCCCTCTGATTTACACAGCTAGCTCAGTGTTGGTGGCCAGAACCCTTTCCTTAAGCCTTCATTCATGTTGGAGCCTCACTCAAATCAGTTTTCACACGGTGAGTTCTCCAGTCCTCACCCATACATCAGGCCCCCTCTAATCTGCAAGAGAAGAACTTCTATCACCTCCAAGAACCTGCCTCTGATCCCAAGACCCAGTAAATACTTGGCTTCAGCCCCAGCTTGCTGCTAGTCCCTGAAGTTACATTATGTTGTTTTTTAATATGATGACATGATTTTAGTATTTTAAAAATATTTTCTCTGGGGCGCCTGGGTGGCTCAGTAGGTTAAGCTGCTGCCTTCGGCTCAGGTCATGATCTCAGGGTCCTGGGACTGAGCCCCACATCAGGCTCTTTGCTCAGCAGGGAGCCTGCTTCTCTCTCTCTCTCTCTCTCTCTCTCTCTCTCTCTCTCTGCCTACTTGTGATCTTTCTCTGTCAAATAAATAAATAAAATCTTTAAAAAAATATTTTCTCTGTCTCTGTTGAGTTTGGAGTTGGCAGGAGATTGCATCCGTCTGAATTCACAAGGCCACCTGGACCAACGGTCTAAAAGTTAATTTTTTAAAGAAAGGAGATTAGATTAAGGTGGTATATTAAGTGTGCATGCCTATATCCCGCTGCTACCTGAAATTAGCTCAAAATGATGCAGGGAGAGATGAAGGGAAAGGGCCAAAAGGAGGAAGAAGAGGGGAAAGGACAATTAAGTTTTTGAAAGCTAGACTGCTTGCTTTACCTACAGAGAAATTGAGACTTCCTAAAAAATAGTTGCAGTGAGACCGATGAGGGATAGGACAGGGTGGAGTGGGGGCCACATGGAGACCACAGGCCAAAATACTACAGAAGAAGATGCCTCCAAAGGCAAGACCAGTTCTGGAATAGCACCAGGAGAACAACTAAATGAGCAACGGGAGGGCTCTGGGGGCTACCACCAGGACAACTGGTTAAAAGGACCTTTAAAGCAGGAAATGATCAGAACACTCATATCTTTGTGCAAAACAACAGGCAGGGGAGGCATTTGTTCCCTGGAAGGGGGCAATAATGGGAAAGCTAGGCCCAAAAGGCCAGGCGAAGCCTAGTGGCTCACAAGACCCAGGAAGAGGCAAGAGCCCTGGGGCCCAGAAGCTATCCATTGGCTGAAGCACTGCATTGTACAGTACTAATGCTCCACAAGCTTCCAAAGCTAAACATGTTATTTGTCAAGAGTTGCGGCTCACTGTGTTAGCAACACTCCCAACAGGGAGAGGAAGAAAAGGAAAAGGAAGATGGCAGGTGGTCCCAAAGGACCGTGTATCACAATTTCAGGTAGGGGCTGCTTTTCAAGCTATACTCATCAGCTGTAGTGAGGATCATTACAGCATGGTGAGAATAAATAAAGTGTGAAGTCCAAATTAGGTTTCTTCTGTTCTTTCAACTCTTGCCTCTTATAATTTTATTTAATTCTGTTCTTAACAAGGTTACATAGAAATTATCCTGCTTCTTTTTTTGTAAGCTTAGCTCTCACTTCAAAGATGCCATCAACCCTATGTGTGTACTTATCAAAGAGCAGGCTCTACATGGCACTCCTCTCTCGATTATTACGGGTTTTCTTTCTTCCTTTTTTTAATTTAGGGATTTCCTTAACAACTGCATTTCTGAATCTCAGTTCCAGTAGAGAAGCTACCATTAAAGTAACCATTACAAGAGCCGATACAGGTGCTACGCCCTGTTCATGGGCCGCTGAGGTACAAAGAATGAAGAACCTGATGGCTGGCAGGTGGGGAAGCTGGGATTGGAAACTGGCCTTTCCGCCAGGGGGCTGTTTATCACTAGGCTGGCTTGGCTCCATTCCCCAAATTATATGAAAGCACTGCAGCCTGGTACAAAGTTAGGAACTAATGAACACTTAGTTCTTACTTACTCACAATACTGAATAGTCCTCTTTAAGTTCTAGCAGTTTTGCAATTACAGGAATCTTTAAATTGTTATAGGAATCATCATCCAAGAATTTCCTAGAGCAGACAAACCCTTTTTTTTCTAAATATTATTCCTTTAAAATTTAAAAAAAAAAAAACCTTTTTTCAACAACAGTAAAGGAAAACACAGTGCGCAAAGTCAAACACAAAAACATAAAAGTAAAAAATAAAAGTCTCCCCATTCACCAAGCATACCTCTCCCTAGACATAACCACTATGTTAGTAATGTGGTGTTGATCCTTCCATACTTTTTATGTCAAGTCAACAATCTCTCTCAACATTAAGACACAACTGAATTAAATAACACATGAACAGTTTTTAAATGTTGTGTAACATTTCCTCACATCTTTACTGCAATCTCCAGTCTCCAGCTCCATCAAAAAAAATCAGAAAACAGAAATAATCCAAAATCTTTTCAGAAAAAAGATGAAAAATCAGAAAACAGAAATAATCCAGAACCTTTTCAGAAAAAAGATTAAAAGATAAAAAATAAATATTATTTTTTACATATATAAAGAAATCCAGTGCTATATTAAACTATTAAAAAACATTACTCAAGTCCCCAAGAACTGTCTCTATACATATTTTAGCAACAATAGAAAATGGAATTACAATTCAACTTCAGACTCAAAAACAAAATCCCAAGAATGTAGATAAAAATCTTAATTTCCTGACGAGTTCCAAGTAATGGCAGCAAATGGTCAATTCAAAAATATAGTCCTTGTGTCCACTTTCGCAAACCTATAAACTCCTTAAAAGATACAAGAACTGACGCACTCCCCTGAAGTTTCTTTAGAATCTGGGCTCAAATCTAAAATGAAAGCACATTTGCCTGAAGAAACTGTGGGCCAGGGCAGCTTTCTGTTGGCCTGAGAATGTGTCCCCAGCTGCCTGGGGAACAACATAGATGAGTCTGCCTAGCACGGTACTGACCACAGTCTGGAACGACCAGTTTCGAGCCAATCCATGGTGAACAGTGGAGCACAAAAGGAATCTGTGTTGTAGTTGCCAGGAAACTGGCCAGAATTGGTCAAAGTACAAATACAGCTTTTCCATAAACCTCCAGGCCCTCCCATGCCAATAAATGATTTCGGGTTTATGAACAGGCTGACAGCTTGCATTACTTTTACAAAAGTGACAAGAGAGAATTCTTTTCTGAGAAGAAAATTATCAACCCTTCAAAAATATGCACATAAGCTGTGAAGTGTGTAAACCTGGCGATTCACAGACCTGTACCCCTGGGGATAAAAATATATTATATGTTTATAAAAAATAAAATTAAAAAAAAATGCACGTAAGATCTTTACAAGCATTTTTTGCATAATAATAAAGCAAATCTCTTACCTTTGGCTGGCTTCTGCATTTCCAAAAGAGATGCCATTGTGGACATGAAAGAAGAAGGAGAGAGTTCAAAAAAAAATTTCTTTTGGTTAGAAGACAATTTTGACAGGTAAAATGATAATAAATACCATGTAAATTTTTAGCAAGAATACAAAATATTAACTTTGAAATCAAATAGCAATTTAAAATAAAGGAGAAATGAATACCTATGAACTAGTAGGGTAGAGTCCTTAATTATAGAAAACTAACTTGCATCTCTCAAGAAGAAAAAACATTATCTGAGCCCTGGATAATTTTTAAAGTCCTAATATTTCTGCCTTATGCATTCTGCTTATCCTTGTAGCAGTCTTGTAAATATATAATTTAAGAAGTCTTTACTTTTTATCATCTGACTTTGCTTCCAAGTAGTTTTCTCTGCTTTGATACAGCAGCAGCTCACTATATAGGCCCCTCTATAAAAAAACAAATTCTGGGGTCACCTGGGTGGCTCAGTGCGTTAAAGCCTCTGCTTTCAGCTCAGGTCATGATCTCAGGGTCCTGGGATCAAGCCCCACATCGGTTCTCTGCTCAGCGGGGAGCCTGCTTCCCCCCTCCCCCTCTGCCTGCCTCTCTGCCTACTTGTGATCTCTGTCTGTCAAATAAATAAATAAATAAATAAATATTCTTAAAAAAAAAAATCTGCTCTGGCTAAGAAAAAATGGTTTTATTAAAGAAACAACTAATTTTTTGCCAGTGAATTACTACTTACTTACTTACTCACTTATTCCCTATTGATCTATCTTACCCAGGTGCTTCTAACCTCCCTCACCCCAAAACTGTGACTCATAACTCCTCAGGGTACAGAGATAAAACTAAACCCAGTATACTCTGGAGATAGTTTTAAACTTAGAGAAAAGCTGCAAGAAAAGCACAAAGAACTCCCTTCACCCAAATTCACCAAGTGTTAACATTACCACAGCTACTATATCATTCCCCCCTCCGCCTCCCCTCCTCCATACACAGATAGATAATATACACACACATATATAATATACATATTAGTTCCCTCCTAATCATCTGAGAGTAAGCTGCAGACATGTCTCTTTATGCGAAACACTTCATTGTCTAATTCCTTAATACAATGATGTTCACTTTCATAACCACGGTACAATGTCAAAATCAAAAAACTAAGGAATAAAGGAAAGAACTTTAGAAACCAGAGACAAAAACAATAACTGGAGCTTCAGGAATAACTGTTCTCTCTCCAAGGACCAAATGTCAACTCAAACCTAAAACCTGAAAGGAAATTAAACACAGAAGTATTTCCTTCTAATTGTCAATACAACTTTTGTCCCTCTGTCTCATAAAAAATTTTCTTCTAAAAAAAACTTAATACTAATTTGCATCAAATGATTTCAGGTAAGAACATGAAAACACCAAGGAAAGTCTACCAAAGAGTGACACTTGTCCAACAGATTCTTGGGTGACAGCTGATGTGGGTGGCTGACATATAAAACAAAGTACTTTCTCTGGAATACGAGATATGGAAAAACTTCCTGACAAAAAGACCTGTGAGATAATGGTAGAGGTCACTGATACATGCTATCATCTTTGTTCTTTCCTTTTTTGTTTCTCAGGGCTTTGTTGTTGCTGTTGTTGTTGACTATATTCAATGCTATTACGTTAATTCCAGGTGGTCAACTAGTGACTGCACAAGTTTCTACACTATGCTGTGCTCACCCCAAGTGTGGCTACCATTTGTCACCACACAATGCTGTTACAGTATCACTGACTGTACCCCTGTGCTGCGCCTTTCATCCCCATGACTTACTCATTTCGTAACAAGAAGCCTGTATCTCCCACACCCCTTCACCCATTTTGCCCATCCATGCCCCCTTTCCCTCTGGCAACCATCAATTTGTTCTCTATATTTATAGCTCTGATTCTGCTTTTTGTTTATTTATTCATTTAATTTTAGTTTTTTTAGATTCCACATATGAGTAAAATCATATGGTTATTTGTCTTTTTCAGTTTTACAGTTGAGAAACTTAAGGCTCAGAAAAGTTAAATGAACCTATCCAAGACACAATAATAAGCAGCAATGGGATGTCAAACTAGGTCTTCTGATTCCCAAAGTCCACATTCTTCCCCTCTTCCACACAGAGGGAAACAGCCTCGTCAAGTTTCTTCTAGACTTAATCTATGAGTCATATATTAACAACTGTTCTTGCTAACAGAAACCTTTCTCAATGTATTAATTTCCTTCATTCTAATTATTACCGATAAAAGGTTACCACCTAGTGCTTATGCCAGTGTAAGTTTACTTAAACTCCAGACTGTCTTTTCTGAGGGAAAAATAAGATATTTAGTATGATATTTCAAGTTTAAATAAAATATTCTATGTAAAAATCAGCTCTTCCTAAGAGACAATCAACAAATACAAAATTCAATAATACAGGACACATCACAGAAGAATCTATGAGACTAACCTGAATTCAGAACCTAATAATAAAAACAGAAACAAACCAGTAGATTAATTACAGAGCTAAGTTTCCAGCTAGAGATTCTGGTGACTACATCAGTCAAGCTCAAATAACCTACAGAGCCACTGGAAACCCAAAGATGTAATTACAGCTCCACACAAAAATAAATAAGTAAATTAATTAATGAAACAAAACCTTTCAAGGTATAGTTGCAATCCAATATGGTAATGGCTAACTTCTCCCCAAATCCCTTATTTAGAAACCTTAGCTATCCAGCTTACAGCAGAGATTCAGGAAGCAAAGAAAACCAGTTCTGACCAATCAAAAGAGCCATCACAAAGTAAAAACATGAAAGTCTTAGTTTCTATCAGCTGAGTTGAAATACTTGTTGTTGTTATTGCTTAACTTCATTTTAAAACCTTCAGACTCACAAAACATTCAAAAAAATAGTACAAAGAATAGCACATATAAGAAAATAGTACAAAGTACAAATATGGGTGTATCCTTCACCCAGCTTCCCCAAATGTGGATGTTTTATATAACCACAGTCTTTATGATCAAAACCAGGGAATTAACTATCAACACAAACCCTATTAAACAATCTAGAACGAACCTTAAACAAACGTTTTGCCAACTGTATCCCACTGATGTCCCTTTTCTGGTCCAGGGATCACACCTTGCATGCGGCTATCTGTTTCCTCCCATCTGGGACAGTCTGTCTCTCATGACCCTAACACTTGACGAGTACTGGCCAATTATTTTGTAGAATGTCCTTCAATGTGGGTTTCTCTTATGCTTCCTCATAACTAAATTTGGGTTATGCGTTTTGGCTGGCACAACACTACAGGTAATGTGCCCTTTTCAGTGCCTCACACCAGAAAGTACACGATGATGGTCATCCATGTCTCCTAACTGAGGATGGTAACTCTATGATCATTTGCTTATGGCTGCATCTACTAGGTTTCTCCATATAACAGTACTAGTTTTCCCTTTGTGCATTTTTCTTATTGGGAAAGACTTTGGGACTATATAAATATCTTCTCTCATCATACTTTCACCCAAGAATTTGAGCATCATTGATGAATCTTGCCTTCAACAATTACTGTTTCCCAAATGGTGACTGTGTAGTTCCTGGAGATGTTAACAGCCCAGGTAGATCCACATGGACAGATGTGCTTTTTAGGAAGAGGTAAACTTGGGAAACAAATGATTTAGTAGCACAGTTTGAGTAGAACAGTTATTTATGGAGAAGCTACTCATCTCCTTCTTTTTACTGACCTGGTTTATCGGTATAGCTCACTTCTCATTTAAATAATACATTACATCATAAAATTAAGTCCAATTACACTTGTAATTTTTTAAATGTCACAATATGAAGAATAAATTTAATGACTATTTTATATAAATTGTGATCTTTGGAAATGTTTACTGATACTTTTGACCATAATAATATACACTACCACTGAAAGAATAGCTCAAAGAACTAGAAATAACATAGCTGGATGCAGGGAAGACTCAAGGAAGACATGATGTCATCTTCAGATTTGAGGAGGCTCACACATTTGACCATAATAAAAATAAAATCTATATTGGATCCAAAATAAACCACACAACATCCTGTACGTGTAAAACATAGAGCAGTATCAGCAGAATTACAAGTTACAAATCAATTATGCTGTCCAACTACCAAAAGTGAACATAATATCCAAATATCAACATCTCTTTTAATTCTAAAGATTTAAGTTTCTGAAACCTTCACAATTAGAAATATTTGGAATCTCTGTTTTAACAGGATCTCTCTCCAACTCACTCCATAACGGATGTATACATCACAAAGAGCTTATTCTGATACAGCCGTACTACGTAATGAAATTGTTGCTTTTTTCAGACTTAGCTGGCAGTACCAGCAACCAAACAACAATCTGTGTGATGATCGTTATTTTTTTCTTGGTCATCCATCCCCTGATGTGCTTTCTGCACAAGGAATAAAGCTGGATATGACTAAAATTTTCAACACTGACTAGACTCACCAAAGAGTCGATCTTTGCTTATCTCACCAGCTTTAATAAGTACAAACATCACTAAAAGGCCTGTTTAGTGCTTCATTGACATTTGGAGTACTCACTTCAGTTTTGAAGAATAAATTTTAAAAGCATTATTGATAAAGTAGAATATCTAGGAGAACAGGATATATAGGAGGGTTTGAAAACATTACCACTGAAAGAATAGATGAAAGGACTAGAAATAATGTAGCCGGGCGCAGGGAAGGCTCAAGGAAGACATGATGCCACCTTCAGATTTGAGGAGGCTCACACATTTGGAGGTAGGAGGAGAAGCAGACTTGTTCTAGGTCAGCTTAGAGGCTGAATTTGGTAGGATCCACTGGAGAAAGCTAAAAGAAGAGAGATATCTCTCCAATACAAGAATAATTAACACTGTGTTAAATGGCCAGCTCCCATGCGTGGAACTATATGACAAGAGAAAAGTAGCTGATGAGGATGTTGTGGAAGGAAGGAGAAATTATACACTGGATCACTTGTAGAGCTCTCTTTAT